CCAATAGCAATCCCAAAGAGGTTAAGTATATACAAAAGATAATCCTCAAGCTTTGAATACAACTGGTTATGTTAATGTCCTACCAAACCTTCTGACTGTTCTCCCATGAGTTAAAACATTAATGATCTGATCTTACTTATTTGTGTACTGGATAGATGGTCATGCTCCTCAATGAGCATGACCTCAGTTTATTACAGAAAAGTAAAATTTAAACAAATGTCTCAATGCGAACATTTGAAAGTTGCTTGGGTTATTGCAGGAGTTCCTTGTGAAATAAAGCCATAAATTTCTACTTATGCTGTTGACACTATCAGCAACAGATCAACTTTTAGAAACATGGAATTCCATATAAAACCTAATATAAAGACTTTTGAATTGCATTGCAAATCCCAGGAAAGGTGCATTACTAAATTGAACAATGAACTGCAAAAACTTTTGGTCTTCCACTGCAACATGTATTACCAAAAAGAAAGAGGCTTCTTGACAGTATCATTTTCCCTGCTTAGCACATTAACTCTCCAGAAAAATATTTTAACCTTCAGTTTGCTAGCAGCAATTTCACCACAGCTCTTTTAGGTTCTATCTGAGTGCTTTGGAAGCAAGCATGATCTTCTCTCAGCCTCATAAACTGAGGCACAAAACAGAGAGGAAAAAAAAAAGGGCAGCTTGTCAGTAATTCTTTACTGATACCACATGAAACATTTGGAATTTACTTTAGTGAAGCATGCAGTGTGGAAGAGTCTATCAGAATAGTGAGTAACAGGAAAACTCTCAAAACGGGATCTTGCTTTCACCAGGGAAAAACAAAGCCAGAGAAATAAGAAATCTTCAAAAGTATGTCTAAGAATTTGGACATTCAATAGAAATTGGAAATAGGGAAAACAGAAAGGTATTGAAAAAGAACAAGCCTACGTAGGGAGATAAGCTTAAATGGTGAGTCTCTGGCTTAATAACTAATTAAACTAGCACACAAAGAGTCCTTTTAAGCAAGGAAATTATTTTACAAATGTTGCCTATTTGAATTTCAGCCATTACACCATCTATACCAATGTCCAAATAAGAAATTTGTCCCACCTTTGTTAAAAGAGAGTAGCACTCCCTAAGAAAGTCTATTTTTAATTTCACTGCATGGATTACTACAAATCTCCATTAAAACATACCTGAAACTTTACTTTTTTTCTTGGAATGTTATCAAAGGCACGCATCTGCTCCAGGATGTTCCGCACTTTAGGGCTTATATTTGGCTTCTTCATTACTTCATGGATTTTCTAAATAAGAAAAACAGAATTAAATCAGAAAAGCAGCATAAGGATCAAATGGTACATATAAGGTGTGCAAGTCTGAAGTACACTGGACAGAAGTCACCCAGCACCCACAGCTGGTATAGTCTGTTCACAGGAAATGTTCAAAATGCATGAGAAAAAGACTGATCTTGGGTTTAATCACAGCTCATTAGATGCACCAAAGTTACCTATCTAAACATTTATACCTATACAGTAAGCAGAGGCAAGCAGGACTGCTCACCAGGGCTTTCTGATGTACAAGTTACAATCTGTAATAAATACATTTTAAAGTAAAGTAACTGTATCATATTAGGGATTCTTGCAGCGTGAAAAAGACCTTTATTAAGAAAAGCAATTGTCAACTTACTGTCTCTTTGCAAGCTTCTGGAGTTAATTGTGAAAAATCAGGCTTACTTTGATGCCACAGTTTGATATGTTTTTCTTTTAGAAGCAGTGCCAGCTTCAGCAACCATTAATCCCTGTAAGACTGCTCAGGATATTCCCCTGCTATAGGTGTCAGCACGAGAGAACAGAGGAGGTTAGGCGAGGGCAGTTCCCTATGGCAGTTCCTTGAACAGCACTGCTGCTTGTGGGGAGGGGGAAAGGGTTGAGCTTCCTGGTACTTAAAGACATAGCCACTGGACACTGGAGTGTCTTCCTGTACTAAGGTTTTGTGGATGTGTTAAGATTATTGGAAAAGGGTGTTTGGTAATAATCCCTCAGCCTTCTGTGTAGGAAGAACTTACTTCTGAGGCAGGCTTACAATGTTCACGAGCAATAGCACTCACATCATGGTGCCTTTAACAATGTCCTCAAACCATGTTCAGTCTCAACCACTGCTCATCTCTGAGTGTATTACTCATATATCTTGAGTGTGTGTGTAGCTTAGTACCTTGTTAGGTTGTGTTCTATACAAGATAGAAATCAACAAATCCATGTATAAAGGTGATTAACTTATTAGTAATGGGATTTTAAAAATGTGTTTCAGTTCCTTCCACAAATCAATGAATAGCCTTAAGAGGGCAGATTCTTGCACAAGACAGAAAGGGTATTAGACATTTCCATCCTTGCTGGAGCCTCTCCTGTTCAACATATTGACAAAATATCTGACGTGAGGACAGGAGAATTTTCCTAATGAATGTGAAGCTATTCAGGATGAGGACTATAAGGACTCCAGAAAGACCTTAAGAAAATGAGTGACTAGGTAATAAAAGGGTGAATTACAGTCAACACAAATTCATGTAAAGCAGGATGCAAAGGAAAAGCAATCTTAACTTCACATCTAAAATGGCAGGCTTTAAGTTGATCAAGGAGCTTAGACACGAGATCTTGGGTTTAAAATAGCCAGTTCCATGAAAATGCCAGCACAATGATCACCAGTAGCGAAAAAACAAAACAAAAACCCAAAAGTAGATTAACTGACAAAAATTGGTTAGAAAGATACAAAGAAGGACACAGAAAACATCACTATGACACACAGTAAATCTACGGTTCATCCATATCTTGAACAGCATTTCACAAGCATACAGTAGAACTGGGAAGACTTCAGAGGACCAAAGAGATAACTTACATATGAAGAACAAGTGAGCAGGGCAGAATTTCTCAGCCTGAAGCAGACACTACGAGATGGGGAGGGGTCCCTGACAGAGGTCTACAAAAGCATACATGGCATGAAGAGGATGGACAACTACCAGTGCCTCTTTGCGTGTAACTGAGAAAATTACATTAAATCAAACTAGTAAGAAATAGATTCAAAATGAACAAAAGATGCATTTCTTACCAGGATAAGCAAAAGACCTACCAAGGAAATGCCAAAAGAAAGCTGAGGATATTGGGAAAAACAGATCTCTGGTTTGATCCAGTACAGTCTTTCTGGTGTCTATAATGATTATAAACAATAGTTATTTATCATATCTGTACATAATACAAACTTACCTGAATCCACTCCTGCTGTTTGGCATCTCCTTTGTTAGTTTTAGCTTCAAAACCTTTTCCACCATACTTCTGGTCTTCACTTACACACTTCACATGTTCCTTATAGTCATCACCCCTGAACATACAAGATTTTTAGCCACAGGTCACAGAGACGCTTCAGTCCTTTGAAATATGAAACGTCTAATCAACAAACTATGTTCCAAAAGGAACATTATTGCCAATTTCACTCTCTTTGCAGTAGCAGAATAAATAACAGTTGCTGATGATCAGAAGCTGAAAGCTTCACTTATGCCTGTTTACTGTTGAGGTTTAGTTGTCCATGAGGTTCAAACTTGGATGATTAAGTTTGAATTTCTATAAAAACATGTATAATTTAAAAATACAAATATTATTATTCAGAAATAGCCACATTTAATTCTAAAAGAAACACAGAAAAAACTTGTATTTGTGACAACCCCTGCAGAGAGAGAAAAGCTATTTCACATCCTTTACCTACCAGAAATCCTTGCCACAATCCATGCAAGACAGGCACTGACAGTTTCTGCAGATGTTCACATGCTTTTCAACCTGTGCTTTCTTCACAGCTTCTCCACACGCATTGCATGTGAAAACTACCATGTTGGCGAGTGGTCTGGAACTTCCAGGAAGTGGGTACAACCTCCTTCCTCCACATACAAGCACAACCCTAGAAACACAAAGAGGAGATCTTACGGCTTGAAAAAAACCACGTGCATGGCCGAAGAGAAACGCACCTGTGCACCCACCCACAGACAGGGCGAGCAGTCCCATCCTGCAGGCGCAGGAGCTCACCTCGTCTGACACCCTGAGCGCAGGGGAGAGCAGTGACCCTGGAACCAGCAATACCTGTACTCACCACCCCAAACCAGGAACCAGCAACCCCTATACCTGCCACTCCAACCTGGGAATCAGTGACCCCCAAGCCAGGAACCAGTGATCTCCATATCCACCACCCCAGCCCAGAAACCACTAACTTCCATATCCATGACCCCAACCCAGGAATCACTAAACCCCGTACCCACCACCCCAACCCGGGAACCAGTGACCCCCCATTACTACCACCCAACCAGGGAAGCAGTAACCCCCAGCCCAGGAACCAGCAATCCCTGTATCCGCCACCCCAACTCGGGAACCAGTAACTCCCAGCCCAGGAACCAGTAACCCCCACACGTGGAGCCAGGGAGCCAGTAACCCCCACACCTGGAAACAGGGAGCCAGTAACCCCCCTACCCGCCCCCTCATCCTCCTCCTTTTCCCGGCACGACCTCCCCCCCTGCTCGGCCCTTCCGTCCCGCTCCCCTCAGCAGACCCGTCCCGGCCGGGTGCAGGCGAGCGGCGCTGCCGAGGGGTGGCCCGGCCACGCGGGGCGGGCAGACCGGTGTGCCCGCCACCTGCGCCTGGCCGGCAGCCGCTGCTGCCGTGCCGTGCCGTGCCACGCCGACTCTCCCTCTCCCGTTCCCATTCCCATCCCTGTTCCCGTTCCCTGCCCCCCTCACCTCAGCGCCGCCGCCTCCCGCAGCCGCCCCGCGCGGCACGTGCGGCCGCCCCGTGCCCGCCGCGCCTCCGCCCCGCTCCGCCCGCGCCTGCGCCGCCCCCGCCCCGCCCCGCCGCGCGCGGCGGAACGGGAAGGGCACGGCAAGGGAAGGGAAGGAGGGAGGGGAAGGAGGGGAAGGAGCGGCGGCGGAAGCGCCGGTGGCGGGGATGGAGCTGGGAGGTGGCCGCAGCCGGTAAGCGCTGGGCAGGGTCGGGCCGGCTCCCACCCCTCGGCCGCTCTCCCGCCTCAGCCGGGCGGCGCCGCGTCCCCCCTTCCCGGGCCCTCGGCCCGCCCGCAGCCCCGGCCCTGCGGCAGCGGCTGCTCCGACACCGGCCAGAGCCAGCCCTCCCCGCGGGGCCCTCTCCTCTGCACCCTCTGCGCCTTTCTCCGTGCGACACCTCGAGCCTGGGCCCAGCTGGGCCAGGCTTAATCATACGTACACATGGGAGCCGCTCCGTGTTCGGGAGCGGCTCTCTCTGCCCGCCTTTCCCGCTGGGAGACAGGCACCTGATGGCTGAGGGGCAGTTCGCTGGTTGTCAAAGTATTGACAACCCCCGTGGTGGGAGACGTACACAGAGAAAGCAACTGCTTGCCGAAAAGATAGGGTTTCTTTATTTTAAAGCCTGGTAGAAGACATTATAAGCATTGATAGCCCAAGTGTAATACAGCAGGAGGCAATGAATCACAGAGTTACAGGATGAACTAAAAAGGGGAACCTTTGGTGCTTATGGGAATTGAGAAGGGGGCAACCACTTTCTAGTCGTATTTAACCCAAGGTGGTCTTTCTGCTTCATTAGTTAGAAGTTCTAATTGTCCTAATAGTTGGAGTTTTCATTTACATGACCTGTATTTTCATCCTGTTTTAAAGAAGGATTTTTTTCATTTAAGCATTATATTGTATTAAAAAATTACTGTCTCTAATCAGATCCACATGGGAAATATACTTAACTAGGACGGCAACAAATATGTCTTCAATAATAATAGTATTATGTTCTCCCCTTTCAGTTTAGAGGGTGAGGAAATTGAGGTTTACCTTTACAGATGATACTGATTTTGCAGGAATGGTGTGGTTTTGCCTTAGAATCTAGTTCTCGTCAAAGTTGTCTAAATCGGGGTGGGATTTTTTGTGGTTATGGAGTTCAATTTATTGGCAGCACCATTAGATTTTTGCAGAAACTCTTTGTTGTAAGCAAAGCTTCATTAAAATCAGTATTTCCTGTGTATGTTGCTGTGCATCTACTGGTGAGCAGTACTGTGACTCATCTTTAATCAGAAAAATGTCATTAGAGCTCACATTGCAGGTGTAAACTGTAGTCTCTTTCCTTTGGAAGCTAAAACATTGTGAAAATGTTCCTAATATTTTAAATTAATTTTGCAATTTAATATTTAAAATTCATCTTAGCATTTTATTTCATTGTAGGTAATTTAAGTGATTTTCTAGCATGGACACTGTTGCTAGCCATAGTTGTCATCTTCTCCAGCAGCTACATGAACAGCGCATTCAGGGGCTTCTCTGTGACTGCATGCTGGTGGTAAAAGGTGTATGCTTCAAAGCACACAAAAATGTATTAGCTGCTTTCAGTCAGTATTTCAGGTATGTGATAGAAAATTCTTCTTTTTAAAATGTTAATTAAGTGCTGTTGGTTGAGAAGGGTATTTTTTTTCTGGTAGTTGCAGAGTAAAGTAACTGTTGGGAATGTAATGAGAAAAGGAACTGTGTGTCATACTATGTTGTTGGATTGTTGGCATTTTCCTGATCCTTACTTGCTTGTAGTGTCTCATATAATGGATTCAGGCATAGACCTGCATTCAGTTTTTCAGTTAGGAAAGATAACTGCTTAGAAGGGACATAGTAGAGTACATGAACAGAGCCAGATAAGGGATATAATTGATGAAACATTATCTGCTTCTGAATAATGTATATTCAAAATAAAATTTTACTATATATGTTATTATTGAATCTCTGTTTAGAACAGATTCTCAGAGATAACAGCTGTGTTTTAAAGTATACAGGTGACCCATTATGCCATATCACTGGTACTGCCCTCAATTGATCCTCCAAATTTTGGAGGATGCTGGATCTCCTAACTTAGTGTTTTACATTAGTTATGAATAAGCTGTTAGTTCTGGCAGGTTTTAGACCTTGTTTTTTGAAATATCTCTAAAGTAAAAAAAACCAAACTATTTTTATGTTACAACCTGGGAAAAAAAGATAAGAGGTTCATTTTTCTCTTCGAGTGGTGTAATCCTGCCAGCGAAGTGCAATTATGCTCAAAGACTGATTTTTTTAAAGTAATTGAAAAGAACTAAGCACTCAACTCCTATTAAAATTCAATAGGATAGAAGTGGCTAATTAATTTAGACTCTCAACCCAGATCAGTTCGTTAAAATTCTGATTTTAATTTAGATAAGATGGTCTCGATTTCTGAAAGAATTTTGATATGGGCACTGGCTTAAGAGTAGCCTCCGCATTTCTAAAATTTAGGCATAGGGTCTCATTTCCTTAAGATTTAGAGCTCATTGATATTATGCCTACCTTTAAACAAAGCCTAATTTGAGAGTTTGGCCACAAAGAGGAACCATCAAGTTTGGGGCATTTCCTACTGTAGGAGTGACCTCACCCCATTTGTTTATATGTCATTGTTTACTGTGAGAGTATCAGGTTAGAGACTGGGGTTTTTAATGGGAGGGTGTGAAATTCTTGATTGAGACAGAGTATGAATCCACCTAATCTAGGACTAGTTGGGAATGTGAAGAACTACAGCTCTGAATGTGAAAATACTTTACATCAAATAGTAAGTTTTGTGAATTCATTCACTTTAATAATTCAGTGACAATTCAGTGGATATGGGTTGCACTGCTGGCTTAGGCTTACATACCTGTGCTTTTCATTATTCCTCTACTTGGTTCTTATCTAGTGCCAGTAAAAAAAGTACTTCTTTGAATATGAGATAATAGATTGATGTCATCTTCTTGCTTAATGTCACTATCCTCCTGTATATTTGTGGAGAAATAACTAATACTAAGAAAATAAGATTTACTGATAGAGTTTGATGGACAAGCTGTTGCCAGAAGTGTTTAGCTGACTTTGAGGTCAATCTTCTCCCTTTTACTAAAAAAGTAAAGCAATTTTTGAAAATTGTCCATAAATACTCCACTGCACTTAATGTGTGAAGAACAGTGGATAGGAAACCACAAGGATAGGGTGTCATTTCAAAACATTAAAAAATACAAAATTGAAATTACATAAAGGATCATTTGTTTTGATTTATACTTAAGTGCACTAATGTAGGACTAATATATGACAAGAAATTGAGAGGTTTTGAGACATTTTGAGACTGCAAAAATACAGCACTCTGGGTAAGGCCTTAGAGTATAAATTGTTTCATAGCAGACAGTCTGTTTGAGGTATATGTGTATTTTTCTTATTAAAGTGTCTTTGGGTTATTTCTGTTTGTATTTGAGAATTTACCTTATTTTATCAGGACCCTTTTCCAGAATTCTTCAGGCCAGAAGAACGATGTGTTTCACTTGGACATTAAAAATGTAGGTGGCATAGGCCAGATCTTGGACTTCATGTACACCTCTCACCTGGATCTTAGTCAGGACAATGTACAAGCTATGCTGGACATCGCACAGTGTCTCCAAGTGCAAAATGTGCTGAACATTTGCCACACCTTTTTAAAATCTTCTACAGCTGTAGAGCAAGCAGCCAGCATGCCTTGTAATGCTGTATTTTCGCTGCAGAATACTTTGGCTACAGATGGGAGCTGTGCCAGTGACAGTTATGGGACAAACCTGTTGCATGAGTGCTCATCTGACACACAGGCCAGTAAAGTCTTGGCTGACCACCATTCTCATGCATCGCAGTCTGTAAATCTTCACACACCCCCGGGTGATGCACAGAAACAGCCACAAGACTCCTTAGATGGCAGCTGCACAGAGCTTCCATTTAAACAATCAAATTACTATTACAAACTACGCAACTTTTACAGTAAACAGTTCTACAAACAAAATGCTTGCTCTGATCATGAGAGAGGAGCAGAACCATCCTTTTCTTACAACACATCCACAGAAATAAACGCAGTGGAGAATAATTCTTGCACTGTCAGTCACTCTGAGTGTATTCTGGAAACCTCTGATCATTTACCATCAAACTTTCTGGTTCAGCCTGTGAATGAAGCTGCTCCAGACCAAGATGCAGAAAGCACACTTATGCAGCCAACCAAAGAGATGCGGCTGAAAAAGGCAATTCACCTCAAAAAGTTAAATTTTCTAAGATCTCAGAAATCTGCAGAGCAGCCACCTGAGCCTAAAAGGAATGACAGTAGGGTACCAGAAGTAATTGAACCTGTAAATGAAAGTACCACAGACATGACAAATGTTAGAGTTACTGATGAAAAAGAAGATGAAGATTTAGTGAATTCTGAGAATTTTGAACAAACTGTTGAAATGGAAAGATCTCAAGGTTCTTTGGAACAAGAAGGACAATCACAGACTCTTCAGTCACAGAGACAATACACTTGTGAATTATGTGGGAAGGCTTTCAAACATCCAAGCAATTTGGAGCTTCATAAAAGGTCTCATACAGGTATAGTTATCAGTTACATGGTCTGCAGACCAAATATTTCAGTTAAAGAGACTATCTTGCAGTGTCTCTTGATTCATAGATGCTGGTTAAGGGTCTACTTTCAAAAGGTGATAGTTTTGTAGTTTTGGGATTTTTTTTAAAGTGAATAATCATACAGAAATAAAGACTTTGATACTGAATTTAGCTGAGAGTTGTAGAAATGTATTTGTTTGGATGCTTTTTAAAAGAACATTGTTTGAATTCAATGAAAATGAAATCTCAATGGAAACTTTATTTTTGTCTTGCATTTAGATGAATCATTTCTAGTCAGTTTGTCAGTTGGCCCAGAAGTTTCAGCCAGATAGCAATAAAAAGTGTAAAGGAATAGGTGATACTACAAGTGTTCTAGAACATCTCAGTTCTCTCTGGTCATGTATTCATTGTGAGATACAAGTAATTGGCATTTGATAAATTATTTTAACTGTAGAAATAATTTTTATAACAACTTTCATTTTGTTTACCTAGAGAGTAAGGCTCTTGCAGACGAGTAGGCTGCAGAATGAATGGGAATTGTGAAATAATTTACTTTGTTTTGAAAACACACAAGTATTATTTTTAAACCTAACATAGATTTATTTCTAAGAATCTTTTTATTCTTCTAGTGAAGAACAAGACTTGGTCTGCCTTAGAATTAAATAATTTGTCTGTTCAATTTAACCAGCATTTTCCATTATTAGATACACTTTTTTTTAAGGAGTTTAAGAATTACCTTATCTAGTCAGGTAATACTATTGATTCAGAGTCAGAGATAGCATTATTCCTGATTAAGCTGCTGAATATTTCTTTTTCCCTGTATTAAATATACAAACATATCTCTCTCAATCTTGTCAAATAAACATCACTTTGGAAATGAGCATACATGTATTGGTACTTTGACACTAAATATGAAACCCTCTTAGCAGACATTAATTTATTTTGTTAATTTGTCCTTAATGTTGAAAGTTTATTTTTCCACATTGTGAGTAGAAAAATCTTTCTAGAACCTGAAAATACAAACATTTTGTATTAGCTTCTTAAAGTTTTTGGTTGTTACCTTTGACTGCTTCTGTATGTTCATGTTTCTTACACTTTTTCATTTGGTCTCCTGTGAAAGAGTTGCATGTCTCTTTCCTAGATACTCTCTTTACCTTGTGTTTTTTTGAATCTTATCCAATTTGAGCTGACATCATCAGATATATTTCAATGTCCTAAAAATTTCAGGAAAATAGGTGTTCAGGTAGAGCATCTAGAAAAGTCCCACTGAAGGAGAGGCTAAAGTAACGTCTGAGTTTGTGCTAGAGTATCTATGAGAGACACCCCAAGATTCAGGAATTCCATGCTGCTTATCATACACTGTCTTCTTCCAGTAGTTTTCAAAAATTCCAAGCTGAATGCTACTTAGTGTGGCATCCGCATTTTTCTACAGATGTGCTAAGCTGACAAAAGTTCAAGAGCATAAGTTTAACAAATAATTAGCACATAAAAGGATGGAAAAACTGGGGCAAGAATATGACTAGAAATGCCTGGTTGTTTCCCTGTAATTTTTGGGTCATGTTAATTTGTTTTTAAATATCCAACTAGTGCAAAAAGAGTGTTGGAAAACTGCAGTGGATAGTGAGTAGGATGTTAATATAGGCATACAGGGCACATCTGTAGTGTTGACTTCAGATACACTAGCAGTTACATAGTGTAAATTTATGCTAAAAGCCATTCCTATTCACTTGCCACTTCAGAAAGCACAGCAGATTGCTAGCTTATCAGTTTTGTTTAAAAACATTTGTTTTCTAAAACTAAGCAAAAGAGTTAGCAAGCATTTAACTATCACAGTGCTTACTGAAAGTCCTTCCAGTCTGGCTTTGCTGAAGAGGTAAGTTCCTGAAATGGATCTTTCACACAGGAAAACCTGTTTCTAACCCACAAATGACAGTTCTTTAAACACAAGTGGTCTTGTTGTCAAGAAAAAGTGCATGTGAAATTCTCTGTCCCTGAACAGTAGGAACTACCAAAGAATTTACAGGTTTCCATGATTGCATTGATGAGTTTCCCATGTGAAGGCAGCCATACTGTGTTCAACACGGCTTGTTGTACTGGGACATCTGGCTGTTTTAATTGTACTGCTAGTGGATACTTAAAGGAATCTCTAAAGAGAGCTTACTATATTGACTGACTGATTTTAACTTGACTGAATGTTATAATTTGGCTGTATTATATTTTTTATTATATTTACCTGTCTGAAAAAAAGGAAGCAAGGGTATTTCTCTTATACAGTCCATACCTGCCTAAGAACATCCAGTGTTTTTGTTGGATTTTCTAAAAAATATTTTCAGGGAACATCTCAAAAAACTACCCAAAACAAATCCAGCCCCATGGAAAGAACCCTTGGCAGGATGGAATATGGCAGGAGCAGAGTAGCACTGTCATAATGTATTGTTGATCCTCAACCTTTTCATTCTGAGCTTTGCTTGAGAAACTTGCCAGCATTCTATGTCTTAGTGGGTCTTGCTCCTCACTCTTGTGATCTCTTCAGGAATACCACTTCTGCATTTCATGCCTTTCTCCTCTGGAGCTGATATACCACTCCTTTGATCCTGCTGTTGTGTACTTTGTCGTCTTCTCTTCCTACAGAGTGTTTATGGATGTTTGTTGAAGCATTGTCTTACTTGTAGTTCAGTTAACTGCTTTTCCCCAAATTTTCTCTATTACTGTTGATCCAGCCCTGGTCTTTGGGAAGATTAGTGTCCTCAGACAGAGTTTTTTGGTTTGGAATTAATTGACAGCTGTAGAATAATAGAATACTTTAGATTAGGTTGCATCTCTGGAGGTCATCTAGTCCCATCCTCAAGGCATATCAAATTAGATTGGGTTATTTTGCTCATGGCCTTGTGTAGTCAAATTTTGGACATCTCTAAGGATCTCTAAGGACAGAGATTCCACCATCCCTCCAGGCAATCACTTCCAGTGTCTGACCACACTTGTGGGGAAAAGATTATTTTCTTATATCTGATTGGAATTTCTCATGATCAAACTTGTGTCTGTCACTTCTTGTCCTAAAACTGTGTACCAAGAACAACCTGGTTGCATGTGTCTTCCCATGCAGGGGAAGACAGATGTTCCATGTAGGACAGTAAGATTTCCTGTTTGCCTTCTTTTGTTAAGGCTCCAGACACAGTCTCACCAGTGATAGGCGGAGAAGGATGATCTCCAGTTTCCCAGCTGTGCTCTCACTAATACACCCCGAGGGACAGTGAGCCTAATTGAGCAACAGGGTACTTGATGAGCCCAGTGGTTTGGAACTTTATGCAAGGGCAAAATGGTTCTCCAAAAACTAATTTGATGTTTCTTTTCAAACAAAACTTTAGTTTTATTTTTATCTTGGGGGAGGGTAACTCCCAACTCTTTGTACATCAGTACAACTATAATGAGGTTGCATGTAGCCTACAACAGTAGTTTTGAGAAATTTGAGCCTCCAATTCCCTCCCTCCCCCTCTAGCCATTTCAGAGTGGATTCCTGTTCAGATACTAGTGTTTAGGTCTACAGTAACACTTTTGTGTGTGTGTAGGTAATTTTGCCAGAAATTGCTACTAGTCTTTTTTATCCTCCATTTCAAATTATCTTGATGCTTTGACAATTTTCAGAATCCTTCCCAGTTGCTACAGATCTGGCTCCCTGTTGGTTTCATTTAGATTTGTGTTGTCAGTACCAGAAATTTGCGTGTTTAGAGCCATAATGAAATTAAGCCTCAGTGCTCTTTTATAGTTGAGTTACTGGTTTCATAATTTTTATCTTTAATTGAATAAAAGCTTTTTTAAAACTGCCAGAAGATTTCCATTCTTCATTAAGTAGATAAAGCCTCAAGTTGTCAGATTACCTACAGGGTTGCTATCCGTGGAGCAACATAACTGTATGTTTACTCTGTATTTTAAAATCTAAAGAGAATTGCATTTAGTCCTTGATCCTAAAATATATGGAAAGAACTTCATCTGATTTGGCAGCAGGAAAGGAAAATGGAACCTCAACACCTGGTTATGGTAGATGTTGCTTGTAACATTTCCAAGGATGGAGGAAAAATACTGATATAGAGAATACTTCGTGGAAGAGAAGCCAAGAGGTGTTCTGTGAAGTCTGGAAAACTAGAATTAAAAAAGTAAATAAAAATCTATAGACACATTTTTGAATCAGCACCAGGGTGAAACGCATTTTAAGATCTTTTTTGTCACTTTGGAAAAATCTACTTTCAAAATCACATGGACTTAGACTAGTTTTGTTGCCCTGTACCAGTGGACCAGATTATATATGTCCTTTAAACGTACAGACTCATCAAAGATGATTAGAGTCTGACTGTCATTGAATTCAGTGATATTTGAGCATTATTATTGTTTTTAAAATTCTAGAAGTTGCACAGAGGATTTTATCAACAGCGTAGAAACTAGGAACTAAGCAGAGAAAAAACTCAACTTTATGAAATACTGTGGAGGAGAAAAAATAATTACAAAAACATACTTGTCTTATATTGACAGCTAGAGAATTGAAGTATTGTGCAGTCACATTCTAGACTGAGATTCAAGTTATTTTGAAAAGCTAAAATGGGCTGCACTTGTTTTTTACTAAAGCTGTTCACATGTTTTTGGAGAATCAAGAATACCAGCTTTATACATATAAATTCAGAATTTTGGAGAAAAATACTTGGGTCAATTTTCAGGTATATAGGGTGAGAATTTGAAGGCAAATATAAGACAGTGAATGGCTACATGCTGAGCATGTGTACGGTACACACTGAAACTGGAAAACAGAACCTTGTCAAATTGGCTTCTCTGCATTCCTCCTCCTTTTTAAGGATATGTCTCTGTACAAGTGAAAAAACAGGTGCACTTCCCATCGTCATTGTTGTTGTTGTAGGACCTTGTCATCTATTCTGTTCTTCCTGGTCATATGATACAGATTTCTAAATGTAAAAAAAGTATTTAAAAAAATTTAAAGCCCATACCCATTCATATCAAAACTCTTCTACCTACTTGTTTTGAATGATAAATTCTGCTTCTGAGCAAGTCTGCCTTACAAGCTTAATAGTAAATGCTGTACTTTCCTCTTGAATTTCCCCTAAATATATGGGTAAGTGTCCTTTTGGGGATGTTTTTACTCTTAAGTTACATGTTTTAAAAGGAAGTGTACCAATTTAAAACATTTTTTATTCCATTGCAACTATTAGAAGTTCTATGTTCTGTTTCTTCTTTTAGGTGAGAAACCTTTTGAATGTAACATTTGTGGGAAACACTTCTCACAGGTGGGAATATTTTATATATTATGGTACTTAGACTTGAAATGCATCTATGTGTTGATTCTAAAAAACTTGGGCTTAAGTCTATAGAATAGATTTTTTTTGTTCAAAGACACTTCACTTTAGGGATAAATTATTGTCTTATTTGAAAGTAATATGTAAAGTGGTTTAGATTTCTTTGATGCATCTTGTACCTTTGATTCTGTCTGCTCTCAGTAGATATGTTATGTATTTTACCTTCAAATGAATGTTTAACTATCCAGAGCTACACTATATTTGAAATACAGAGAACATTCATTTCCAAACTGTACTTTTGACTTATGCTTAGGGATATGTTTGAATAGCATTTTTACAGTGTCTGAAAAAAGTACAGATTAGAATTTTATGTGATGTTGTATTCACTGTGCAGTTTTATCTTCCTAAATGACATAAATTATTAAGCAGATTTGAATCAGATAAAAAAGTTTGTATCCATGTAATTGGGCTTAGTGTCCTTCAGTGAGAACATCACAGTCTGTCTGAAGTGACAGAACTCAGCTATGATTTAAAAAAAACCCTCCTGTGAAATTCTGTACTTACACACTGGGCCTAAGCTTTAGCTGTCTTAATTTGCCCTCCTATGCTTGCTTCCTGTTCTGGGTACAGCAGTTAATTTGTATTCCTGGAACTTTGGTGCCTAGTTGTCTCACATTTCCAAAATGTCTATTTCTTTTCCGTTTTCTTGTTTGGAATGTGCACATCTAAGTACTGGAGACAATAAACAGATACATATTTTTATAATAAAATTAAGTAATAATTATTGTTTAATAACTTTGGTATTTCTCATGGATCCTGATTTAAGAATTAGAGTTATGTGTTCTTTGTCTACCCACCCACCACTGTTTGCGCTTCTCTTGTTTCAGTTTCATAGTCTGCCAGTGGGACTTGTTTACCCATGAATCTGATGCAGTTGTGTCCTCCACTTGTTGCTTAATATGAATATAAGACTGTGAATATAATACACTGAACAGTACTGTTTCATCATGCTTATTGAGCCATTTTAAGAAAAACTAGATCTGCTTATTAGACAAAGAAGTGCATTGTTATTCATTTTGATGGCTGAACTTCTAGCTATTAAAAGCAAAACATGAATATTTCCAAATTCTGTTAAAAGTACCTTTGGCAAATAGTGGTACTCTGTACCACTACTCTGGGGGAGAGGGAATAAAAAAGCTTCTCAGAGAGTGTATGACAGGCATGGCAGACTCGTCTTGCAACATCTTTAACTAAAAAAAACAACCCCCAACAAAACTGGAAGTTTCTGCCTTTTAATTAAACACTCTCAATCATCTCCCCTTTTTTCCTTATTACCTCACTTGCCTGAAGCTATAGATAGATACATATGGATGGACAATTCCCACATGTCCAGCACAGGAGCCATAGTGTTCAGCTTGGGTGCTGCAGCTGGTCATAAAGGGATCTTGTGTACTCCTAAGGTATTTGCTTTTGAATCCTGCAAATGACTAAGATTCCACCCACCAGAAAGCTGCAAGGATAATTCCTATCTACTTTTTGCTTAAAAGACCGTGTCTGATCTTGATCTTCTCCATCTGCAGACACAGAAGTAGAAACACTTTTATTTAAGCCTTCGTGTTCTGTGCTTTTGAGACAGTGCAGTCGTGCCTGGTGGTATTTCTGCTCCTGCTGAACGTAAAGGATGTTCTGTGTGTTGGAATGTGGAGCAGAAAGTGAAGGATGAAGGGGAATTGCCATGGGAACACATAGTTGGGAACAAATAGCAATAAATGTGTTTGATTTTTTGAGAAAAAGGTGCCTTCTGTACTTCCAAGCTTGCATTGTCTCTTACTACAGCACACAGCCGTTTGTGATGTGAACCTTTTCTGGCTGGTGATCCCGGGTATCGTGTTTTACCTCCTTCTGCAGAGCTTCTTTTGGGTGTCCCTACGCTCGTTCAATGTGAAAGCAAGCCAGTTACAAGTGGACCTAAGTCCAGCATATCTCTTTAGTCTCCAAATTTGTGAGGAGTGCTGTGCAACCAGTAAGAGGATTCTTTTGAGCATTTTTTTTCTTTCTCTGAAATGCTAACAAAAGTCCTCTTAGGCATTTTCATTGGAATGGCATGTGCTGCTTTAAGCAAGGTCGTATGCCAGCTTTAAAGCTTAAGAAGAATACAAGCTATTGATGGGGTTTCTTTGTTTTAGCACAGTTAATAACAAGCTTTGTCCTCATTAGGAGGAAATTACATAGGATTGTAATAAATAAATGGATCTACTTGCTGCTCTCTGTAGAATGTTTTTATTCTTGATTAAAATGCTTGTATGAGAACTGGTTTAGAATGGTTATTGCACTTCAAATTCACTCTCTGTCTTTATCCAGAATAACTTTTAAGTGCCCATGATAGGGTTTGTTTTGTGACATGGATAGAAGTAAAGGCTCTGTCTTTTATATATTTTCTCTCAAACGCACCACTGAATAAAATCCCTTGCTTTTGCAAAGCAAAAATTATTCCATGGTTCATCTCCTTCCTCAGACAGAGGTGCTTAATGCCTCTCTTTGAATGGATTTTAGGATTATTAGGTTTGGCCTGAGAAAACAGTGGTTCAGTCATGCTGCTGTCTGAAAAAAATTACAGGGGTTAAAGAGAGCTCTCTCAGCGTTCAAACACTGATACATTTGATACTGTCCTCTGTCTGTGTTTGTGTGTGTCTGCAGTGCTTGAGTTCTGGTATATTGTAAACTCTGATTACAGTGATGGATCATCACTGGTCCTTTATTATCGAAAGGAGTCAGAAGACATTGCTGTGGGTCTTATTTTTGTTGTCTTACTGTGACTGAGGAAGACATGATAATCTTTTGCATCCCAAATTTTCTTTCCCAATGGAAAGGACTTAATGTTTCTTTAGTGTACTTAAATAAAACCAGGCAGCAATCAGCCACAGAGAATGGAAGGGTTAAAAAATGACTGTGGAAGTATGCACAGTTTAGGAACACCTGCAGCTCTTCTATCTGGACTAGCTATATCTTGTGTTTTGAGAACTGGACTCTCAGTGGATTAGCCATTCAGAAGCACCAGTGGCTTTAAAAACATTTTAAAAATAGTTGGACACAGTAAGAAGGTTTTATCTGGTCATCATCTGCTTTGCCTGCTAGACTAGCATTCTTTTCATAGGATTGAGAGAGGAAAGATATGTAATAAATTAGTTACTAGTAATCCCATTCATTTATTTCTGTACTTGCTTTTCTGTTTTCTTTTGATATGAGTAAATATGTATAGGTTTGGAGCACTTGGCTCTAGTATTTTATGGATTGAAAAGTGTCCATCCTATTCTTTTCTTTTTAACCTTCTGGTAGGTGAATTCAGACATCCTCATGTAACAATATTTTATTTGTAGGGCAGGGAAAATGAGACATGAACCATATTACTAGTAAGTTTTCTTTTCCATTACATTCTAGATGGTGTAATTTTCATTTATGATTGGATCTGTTTTAAACTATAGGTGTTTCTTTTCCCTTCGCATTTGATCCCAGGGTTATTTTTTTCGCTGTTTCTCTTCTTGTTGACATATAGTTGCATACATAAACAATTTGATCTTGAATTACATGGTAATCTGTCTTTACTAGATAAGAATGCTCGAGTTCATATATACTTTGTAGTCTTCATTGCCTTAGAAGTACAAATAAAAAGCTAGTCTCATAGTTCCCATAATTGTTTTTTATCTGTGTACAACAACAGGGTAGCTGAATTTAAATGCTTAAATTACTGTCCCTTCAGGCAGGTAATCTCCAGACACATCTACGTCGGCATTCTGGTGAGAAGCCGTACATTTGTGAAATCTGTGGGAAAAGGTGAGTAGAACTGTTCACCTTAGTAAAACTAACATGATAAAATTCAGTCATGTTTTCTACTGATCTTCATGATAAACTACAGGCCAAGACCTAAGGCAGCATGCTGCTCAATTTTGTTCAAAAGACACTGGGTTTAAATGTGTACTGGTGGGATTAAAATACATAAATGTCTGCAGTTGTCTTGTTGGAAGTACATAATAAGGTAATTGTATCACTGTAGTTTGTATATTGGTATGTAGTTAAGAATATACTGTTGTGTATTTTGAACAGTGTGAGTCATAATAAATCATGCAGGTTTGTATCTTTTCCTCATATTTTTTTAAATATTTGGTGATAATGTTTTGGTTTTTGTTTTTTTTTACATTTTAGGGAATTCTGAAGTATGGGAAACTTGACAAATTTAAGCAAAGCATTAAATAATTCTGCCTTCTGCTAGCTACCAAGTGACAGAAAATACACTAATGCAGGTGTAGCATAAAATGCAGAATGAATGAGTAAAGGTTTTTTGGGGGGCTTTTTTCTAGCGTAAATTTAATTGGATGTTGCCAGTTTCAAAACGTTTTTCTTAAATGCATCCATTTATCTGTGGTTTAGATCTTAATCTTTGTTCAGAACATCAGGCATTCATTATGCTCAATTTCTGCATGATACTTAGTTTAGGAAAATAAGAGGTCTTATGGAGACACTAATTGGGTTTCTGTATTGTGTTGCAGATTTGCTGCTTCTGGTGATGTTCAGCGTCATATTATAATTCATTCTGGAGAAAAGCCTCATCTGTGTGATATCTGTGGCAGAGGTATGTGAGAACCAAAGTTTCTGCCTCTGGGGTTTTTTGACTGAAATGTGAGGAGTCATTTTAATCTCAGAACCTGTCATATTTTTCTAGGATTCAGTAACTTCAGTAATTTGAAGGAGCACAAAAAGACCCATACAGCAGATAAAGTATTCACCTGTGATGAATGTGGGAAGTCATTTAATATGCAACGAAAGTTGGTAAAGCACAGAATTAGGCACACTGGAGAGAGACCGTACAGCTGTTCAGCATGTGGTAAGAATTACTCTGCATAGCTTGGTTGTGTCTTTGCTTTTTAAATGATAAGTAAAAGTTCCTGTGTCAACAGAATAAGAATTAACCAAAATGGTTTCAAATTGAAATACCATGTTGTGAAAGTTATTCACAAAATCTTTTGGCTTGCATACTCTGTGGTCTTTCATTTGGTGTAACTTATGACTTATCTGTCATAAGTTTAAAAGAATTTCAGTTGAAAAGTAAAGGAAATAAGAGGAGTCTACATCATATGTGTACGTGTTTGCTAAAAAGGCAGTGATACTAGCTGCTTCAAAAACAGATTTAATTTCAGAATAGTCCTTTCTGATGGAAAGTTAAGTTTGACATCACTTGGCTATCAATGGGGTCCTTTTTCTTTTTTCTTTTCCCTCAGTTGAATACTGTTTGGTTTTAACTGCATTCACCTATAGAGTTTGATAATAAAAACCTTTTGTTCCTTTGCTTCAACCTCTGGAATAAAATCAAAACTTGATTGATATTTTGTACCAGAGAACACCTGTTTTCAAAATATGAGCCATACATCCCAGTGGTCTGCAAATGGCTCTTTGATTAATGATTCATCCTTCTATAACATAGTTCTCAGAAACTGCAGTCTATCCTGATCTCTTATGTTACTTACCATCCTGCATACTACTCATGTTTTTCTCCTTAAGTGCTATTTTGATATAATTTCATTCATATTCTAAGGAATCACCTTTGGAGAAAGGTAGTTTCATCTGTTAAAGTCCAACTGCAGTATGTTTTATTTGCAATACCTTGATGCACAAGAAAAAGGCAGTATTATCAGGAAGTCTTGCATCAGCATGAGGAAATAGAGACATGTGGGATATGAAAGTATAAACAACCATTTGTGTTGCTGTCATTAAAACAGGCTTGTTTCCATCTTCCCTTGTACTGGTCCTTTGACTGTTTTTCATTTTAGCTGAGTTGTCTTGTACTGAGAAGGCAAAAATTGTGCAAAGAGGTTCTGATCAATCATTAAGAAATCATTCACATTATGCAAAAAATCCAGATGTATTACTCCAGTAATCCGTAATCTTACCATTACACATGTGAAGTGTCTGAATCATGTAGCAATTCTGGAAATTAATGCTCTTTTGTTCTGTTTGTTCTTCTGCACTTTGCCACAGTTCAGCCTCAGACACTTTTTTCTTTGCGGTATGGTGATTGAGCTTGTTTGTGTCTGTGGTTCTGAAGATAGGCAAACAGTTGAATTTTTTTTGTATTCTAATATTTGCAGCAATAAAAATTACAGTTCTCATACATCCTCTGTCTACAATATAAAAAAAACCTGCTACATTATGCTAGTTTACAGTTAACACAAAAGCTAACTTTGTCAGCATTTTTGAGAGTATTTCCGTGGTAATGAACAAACCATTTCTTTCTATCATGCAGCTCTCACTGGAAGAATATAATTAGAAGTTTATCAGCATATTGTTTTTCCAGACAAATTAAATTGATAATTTAAGGGTTGGTTTTTTTTTCCTCCATGAAGATCAATACAAACTGAGAGCACTCACAGCTTTCAAACACTAATGGATACTCCTGTCTCTGGAGAAAAAAGCTAAACACACTTGTTGGGAAACACAAGTTAGAAAATCAGATGAAGAAGAAGAAACAAGTTAATGGAATTGTAAAAATAGATTGAACTTGTTTGAACCTGCTCTAGATAGACAAATTACCATGACTGGGACGTGTCGCTTGATATTTTCTCTAATTAAAACATGTTTATTCACTTGTGTTAAGAACAAAATCCTAATCTATCACTTCTGTCTTGTAGGGAAATGTTTTGCAGGCTCTGGCGACCTGCGTAGACACGTGAGGACTCATACAGGAGAAAAACCCTACACTTGTGAGACTTGTAACAAATGCTTCACTCGCTCTGCTGTTCTGCGGCGGCACAAGAAAATGCACTGCAAGGCCTCTGAGGAAGGGCCAAACACACTGGATGAATTTACTCCGGGGATTGAAACTTCTGACCTTGACAAGTCTCAGAGTTCTGACTCCTTTGGCCAGGAAATGTCTGTTACATTGTTACCAGTGTCTGTTAAATTTCCAGTTCGTCCAACTGGGAATCCCACCGAATTTGACAGTTCTGCAGATCCCTACTGTAAGTTGCAGTCAGTGGCTCAGCACCACGACTCGGCAAACCAGCAGAAACTCAGTGTGGATTCTGCCAAGCTCCCGAAAGCTCAGACTCAGCCACCACCACCATATGCTTACGCAGACGTGGATGTGTCTTCCGCAGAAGAACCCTTGCAGTCGGATGGCATTCCCATGATTCGCTCCTCCATGGTCAGCTTGGACGGCCATTGCCATGACCCGCTGGGCACTCGGACATCGTCTGCCACGTACAAGAACAATGAAGGACCCTTCTTCTCCAGCATGACCCTCTGGGGTTTGGCCATGAAGACCTTGCAGAACGAAAGCGAGTTGGAACAATGAGGGCTTAGGTGACTGTACCGAAACTTCTTCGAGGCATTTCGTGTTCAAGTGATTGCAATTGCACTGCAGCACAAGGGGATCAGAGCTGGTTTTTAAGCCAGATAGCTTGGATGCTGATAGGAGTCAAGATATGCATGCCCAGAATCCTGTATAAGCTGCCTTTATTTACACTGCTTAGCAGCAAAGTCCAAATCTATTTTTGGGGACCTTTGTTATTCTGTGACTGCACTGTGTAGCTCATGTGTTGCCATGATTTACTAAAACTTGCCATTTACTAAATTTGCCATTTAACTTGGAAATTTTTACCTGATAATGGAGGAAAGGATGGCCAGTGTCTAATTTCATTATATGGGTACAATTCCAAGTATGGGTCATCAGAGCTGTGTAAGGGTGTAGATATGACAAGAGGAAAATACTTAACAAATCCCTAGTGAACCTGGGTTTCAGTAGTGGCTTTCTTACCAGTAGAGTCATTGGTTTACAGGATTTGAGTATTGTGACAGTAAATTTAAATGTTAAATACTGGATAATATTTGTGATAGTGCAAAGTAACTGTATATCTAGAAACTTTATTTTTTTACAATAAAAGCTTTTTTTAGTATTTTATAAACTATTTTGCACAGCAGATTATTTGTACAATGGCGGACAAGATCAAGACATGTGAATAAAGGGAAATTGGTTTACCCTGTATCTTAATTGCTCCACGTGTTCCATCTTTTTGTGAAAGATTTTCGGTAACAGTGTCATCTGTTCCAGGTGTCTTTGCAATGCTAATGGAGATGCCACTGCAAGAAGAGCTGCACTACAAAATAAACACCATCAACACACCAGTAGGTTGTCTTGTTCTTCAGCAAATTAGTATAAAACATTGGCTAATTAATAGACTGTTACAGGATAGAAGCTTTGCTGAGAGTCCTTTTTCTGCTTTGGTGCTTGGAATGGTTGCATTCATTTCTGGTATAGATGTGGTGCTGCATTTCAAACTGCCTGCTATAGACACATGAGTTTTACTGGCCTCTTTCCAACCCATCAAAAAGTTTTAGCAGTGCTTTGTGAAGCCTTATGCTAAAACTTTCCTTACAGATTGTAGTGAAAACATCCTCATGCTCCTTTTCTCTGAAGTTCATTCACAGGCTGTAAGGTCTGTTTGAAGCACGTACTTCTTATTTCCTATGTGGAGTCTCAATGTTTGTAGATTGAGAAGTAGGTTTGAGTGTTTAGCAGCAGCTAACAACATCTATTATCACCACTATTTTAATAACACTGCAGTTCCTCTGCTGAAAAAGAATCATGTGTGTATAAAACTAACAGCTGGAACTGTCCTGTAATTAATATATAATATCATATATTCCTGGTGTTAGAAAATACATTATCACTTGTAAAGTACAAAGATTCAGCTCTGTTATGGTTGTCTGGTTCTTGGTGGAACAAGAATTATTTTTGCTAGAACATGAATGTAGACTGGAGGTGACTTACAATCCACTGCTGGCATTTTGTGGAAGTTCAGTGCTTGGAAAACACTGTATTTTTTCGTATTTTTAAAGTGCTCACCACTCTTTTCCCCTCATGAATTCAAAGCTAGCTGTTCTGTTTCTTGTGTTAACACCATGTGTTAAAATTTGTGGCTTCACTTTCTTAACATGGTCCCTGTACCTTCTTGCTGCTTTCAACTTGAGTTGAAATGGGAAAGAGTCTTGCTGGCCAGAGCATGGCAGCCTTCAAACAAAAGGGGCAGAACATTACACTGTTTAAGTCTCAAAACATACACATTTTTCTCAATTGTCATTTAATGTTATGAAAAACTTTTTTTCACTACGTTAACAGACCACTTAAAAAAAAAAAAAAAAGAATTCAGGTGCACTGGAGAGCAAATTGGGGTTATTTTTTTTTCACCCTTGTTTTCTTGTAGAGCATATATACTAGGAAGCTTAAAAACATCTCTGTTTTTCCAGCCAGTGAAGTCAAAGCACAGAAGCTTTTGCAGCATGTGTGTGTGAAAAATTGCACATAGGCTATATGAACACAGTCCCATATGGATTAAGAAGGGAACACTTAATATATGTGAACCCTTAGCTTTCCCCTCATTCATTGTCTTTTACATTATTTGCCTTTGAACACTGCAGATCTCTGTGGGAATTATCTATGTGCTAATCAGTAATCCAGGTATTATGGTTCTGTCCCTGACCAAGTGTGTTCATCCTCACTCTCACTCTACTTTCCTTGCACTAGTGCCTGAGGCAAAATGTGGGTACCTGTCAGTCACTGGCTCTGTAGGTTTCCTCATGTCAGAAACTATTTTTAAATTTACTCATCCCAAGAGAAAATAGAAATTTGGTTCTGTTCCCACCAGGATTCTGTTGCTTAGAAAGGCCAAATTGCAATTTGTGAACCTCCTAACTTTCAGTTTCCTCGGGTTCTGCAGTGGTTTTGCTTCCTTTGTTGTATTTTGGAGGAATCTCTATAGTGTAAGTTTAAAACAAGCCACGCTGCAACCTTGGTGCTCTTCTGACAAACAGAGTGCTGGAGGTCTGTACACTGGTTTGAAGGAATGTGTAGGACTGTCTTTAAGTGAAAGTGGCATCTTGAGATGCTTGTAAGCACATAGATTAGATTGCAGGTATCGGGTGCTTTGTGCCAAGAGGACAGCTCTGATGCACTAAGGATAATTCCCCTTGCTTGGCAGTATTTCTTCCTGTGAAAGTGTTTCACACCAAAAACATGAAGGTCCTTAAATGTGCAACCAGGCTGTGAATGCTGTTTGCAGGGTTTTTTGGAGGGTTTGTTAAAACACCACATTGCAACGTGGCATCTTTGAGAAGGAAGTAGAGCAAATACTTGTAGGAGGAAGCCACCCCATCTGAGTTTGTCCACTGGAACCAGAAAACACAGGAGTTGCAGCACTGGGCAGGAGCACTGAGAACTTTTGTTTTTAGGTGGCTTTGAAGGAAAAGCTGAGAAAGGGAAAATTCAAAAGATCAGATGGAGTCAGATGGAAGAGAATTAATTTTCGTGAGTGGAGCAAGAAGTTTTGGATTAAGAAGCCCCATCCCAGCAGCCACTTTGCGGTGAGAATATAACTGCCTGACTGCAGGAAAATGTATTTTGCATTTGTGTTTCCAAAATCAAATACAGCATATCATATCATTTTAGTATTGCCTGAGCTTTCCTCAGTGAGACCTTAGTAGAAAATTACCTCAAAAGGGGATCTTTCTGTATCCTAATGATCTCCTGTGCCAACCCACAGGTCCATAATGAAGAGGTTGTATGAGTGGGAATAGCAAATATGGTCTGATAGACCTAATGCTGCCATAAAGCTGGCACAGCTGGAGATGTGGAGCTACCCTATGACTTTGAAGAACAGGTGGAAACCGTGGCACAATTGCTGAGCCAATAGTATTTTACAAGCAGCAGACACCCATCCCCAGCTATTGCTCATAAATATCCACAGTCAGAGTGCCAAGGGGGATGAATAAGCATCAGTCCCTTGGCTAGTAGCAGGCACTGCTGAAGTGCCATTGTAGTTGATGGACATGGCAAGCTATTAAAAAAAAATTGGGGAGCAAAGAGAATGTTAACCTGCCTGGCCTAGTAAAATTGGAGGACTGCTAATTGTTATTGCTTGGAATAACTGTCCTGCAGCTCAGAGCTGCTGTTCATCTTGCAAACTTGAATCACTTCTGTTTACAGAAGATGCAGGTGACTGCTCAGGGCTTTGTGTGGGTTTGTTCAGTGCAAACATGTCTCTCATTTGACTCCTGAACAAGATTTAAAAAAAATTATATAAGTGCTTAAACCTTTGAAGGCATTACTGTGGGGTTTTTTTGATCATTTAAGAGCACTAAACATATATGAAATATGCCATTTTTATGTGGACATGTTTTCTGGATGTACATAGGAAAATGATACACCATATAATTATGATGTAATTATAAGTTATTATAAGTATATAAGTATAAGTATATAAGTATATATAAGTATATATAAGTATAAGTATATAAGTAATTACAAGTTCAAATAACGCCCCATAAAAAAACAATCTTCTGCTTGAGACTTATGATCTAGTTTAGTTAGAACTGAAAAAGTATAAGGAAGGAGGACTTCACTAGGAAGGACTTACTGCTTTTTTATTATCTGTTGCCATCGAGCACATAAAGTGTTTCTGTGGTCTGACACTTCATCTGCGTTCTCTCATACTCTTTTTAAACCCGGCCTGCTAGACATTTTTGCAGTTTCTTGAATTTAGAGGTTGGACTTTCGAACAGAGCACTTGTGCTTTGTTTCCATGACTTCTTCAGCAATTCCAAATAGGTTTAAACTCCTGTTGATAATTTTACAGGGAAGTAATTGCTACACATGAAGTCCTCCCAAAACATCCAAGTGGCACATACAAGAGCAAGCCAAATTTAAGACAAAATCAGTGTGAAGCAAGTGGAACTGGCCCCATAGGCCATTTGCTTCTGGAATCCACTTTTTTCTTTCTTTGCATTGTCTTCCCCACTGTGGGTAGCTCCATTCATATGTGGACAGCTGCATTCAATTTTTGCTGCTCACTTCATGCCACTTACCCACCCTTCATAATCCAGACCAGAGGTTAACGTATTCAAGCTCAGTAAGGAAAAGTGTAGAGGCACATAGGTAAAGAGAGTCCCACATAATTGTAAAACTTTATAAAAATGGCCAGTCTCCACACTTGGGGGTGTGTGCTGGGGTTTGGGATATTTAGCTTTCTTTCTAAAGAGCTTGTTTGAGAAATAATACGCAAAACAAACATGACAGGAAATGCAGATGGTCCTGCTTGAACAGAGTTAATAGAAAGCAAACAAACCTGAGCTTTATAGACAGATTTGAAGGAAGAAAATGTGATAGCTTGGGAAATGTGTTCTAATGACAACTGAAGGGCATTAGATGCAGCTATTTGGTAATTCCGTATGCTAATGACTTCAAAGTGACCTGTGCTCCACTGTGCTGCAAATAGATTTCTTTGTATTGGTACACACGGGCTTGTGCTTTCTGGTCCATAACCTTATTCATTAATCCTTACTGACATCTATTATTGAATTTGCCTTCTCTAAACAGTTGGTTTCCACCTCTGCTATTAAATCTCCATCCTAGCAAATAGATAAAAACTACCTTTAAAACATAGCCTAGTGAAGACACAAGCTAGTGACTCAGACATTCTTTTTTTCTGAAGACAGTACTCCTACTGTTTAATTTTTTTTTTCTTTTTTGTAGTTGATATTCACATGTGTGTTCAGATCTGACAACAGTTTTGTTCTCTTGGTGAGGGAAATTTTTCCTGGAAGGTTACAAAAGCCCATTAATAGAAGCGCACAATGCAGTGCTGAGGAGCGTGCATGCATGAACTACAAGTCTGCCAGCTTTTTGTGAAGCTCTGCATGGGGCAGTATACTGAAATAAAGCCTTTCAGACCCTTTTAATGTAGTACTGACCTTCCACTCTATATTAAACAGATGACTGGAACCAGAAAGATAGGTCATTGTGATTGCAGTTAATATTTGTAAGGACCAAAGCAGCTCTCAGCCTTTGAGGTAGAAGGGAATCATCTTAAGTGTGAAAATGTATCATCACAAGAATGGAGAGGATCAAAGGAAGGCCAGCTGGTGCTCGGACATCTTTTCATAACCTTTATTACAATGCTAGAATACACTAACCTCAATGGGAAGTCCATTCACTTCATGTATTTCAAACAGATAATCTGTATTCTGGTGAAACAAAGAAAGCTAAAAAAGCCCTTTCTGAAAAGGGGGTGGTCATCACAAATTGCCTATGATTTAATCATTTTGGTTTTCTGAAATCAGCTTAGCTTTTTCAATGCAAATATGTGAATGTTTAACATGCTTACTCTAGAAGTGACTGAAAATTTGTAAAATTTAGGTACAGAGAGTTCTAGCTGATTTTAACTGTTTTACTTCTTCTTTAGAATAAAGGCCCTCCACATTTTCACTTGCCATGCACAAAAAGTAAGACACACTTATTTCAGGAAAAAAACTATACAGAACAATCATAAGCATCAAATCATCCAGAAGGCATGTATATGTGGAGTTGTGAAAAAGCCAAGATTAAGCCTAACTAGTTTTGACAAACACCAGAATTTTAAGTTTGGGCTTTCAGGGAACATCATTCCACTATAAGTATGTAAGTATATATGATATTAGCAATAACAAAGCAGAAAATCATTCAAGATTGCTGTTTGTTGGTCAGCTGTTGGTCAGTAAAAAATGGATAGGGACCGTAGGTATAGACCAGAGGTGAGCACTTCTGCTATAATTTTTAGATGGGGAATGCTATAGGTCACTAAAACATCAAAGTTCAAAACTCAAGTGTTAAATTGTTTAGTCCTTGCTTTTGGATTTGGATTTCAATCAGTCACTTTCTGAATTTGTTCTGTGGATACAGAGTGGGGAAAGTATCCCTTCTACTTGTTGAGCAGGGATTTATTTCCAACCAATTCTATTAAACTTTTTGTCTGAAGATTGACACCAGTGTCACAATTGCATTATTTATGAAGTTAGGCCTTGACAGGAAATGCAGCAGTCAGTCTCTTAATATTGCAAAACACCAAATGGACAAAAGAATATTGCCTTTTCCTACCCAGAAAGTGAGGGCAGTCATCGCATCAGCTGGGTAAAAACTGCAGCCTGTGAAACGGGTCTGAGGGGCAATGAAATTCTGACAGCTTCAGGACACACAACTTCAATTCAATTCAAAAGTCATTAAAATAATTCCTAATTTCTAAAGCTTAGAAGAAAAGGTATTTAATTTCTTTTTCTCTGAGTAATTTGCATGTCAAATCTCTCTCCCTCTCTCTCACACACGCTTCTCCCCCTCTCTCTCCTGTCAGTGATGTCTCTCTCAGCAGCTGTCTAGTCGTGAATCACTCCCGTCATCTGCAGCATATTTTTAACACTTCTGGACGTGCTCTAAAAGCAAATGGTCTTAAGCAAACAATTTGCACTGTTTTTCCATACACTCCCTTCACTTCCCAAAACCTTTCATAATCATGACTTTAAAAGCTGGGTCACAGGGGAATCAGGTACTGGAAAATACAAACCTTTTGTACTTGTGAAAGTATCATAATGTTACATCAAGTTCTTGTGTAATGCAGATCTTGTCTGACTTGCAGAAGACCTGAAGTTGCCTGAAGCTTGAGAATTTCACTTCATTAAGATTCATATAAATGTTGCCTTTGGCTTCACCCATTGTATTCTGCACCCTCTCAAGCTCAAACTTCAGTCCGAGTTTAGGAATTGAGCAGATAAAAAGAAAATCACTGTCAAAGCTCAGTACAGCTGCTGTTACGGTAAAGGAGATCAGATTATGCCATGTTTGCTTCAGAGCAGTTACTTCATAGCCTGAAATGGAAAACATAATCATGGAGCTAATAAATTACTTGTCTCGTAATCATGAGTTTCAGAGCTGCCAGAAAAGGATATTGACCAAAAAGATTTTGGCCTTAAAAGCTCTTCTTTTTTTCTCATCTTTTCTTTGGCAGAAGGGCCTTAGGGCACCAAGGATCTTTGCTAAACAACTGGAAGGCCTTTGGAACCATCCAGTAACAAGTCAAAGAGTAATAAAAGTATACTGTCTTCTTCTGCTACTGGCTAGTAAGTGACTCTTCTGGTAATTTGAATATTTGTCAGGAATACAACTTTTTGAGCTCCAGATCCAAATGATTACATTGGCACATGGGCAAAACAGAAATCCTAATTGTGTCAAGTGAAAAGAACTGTCTCTTTCAAAATAAAATGTGGCTTTTAAATATCTAGGACCAAGTCAGTTTTGATTTTTGCAGGGTCTAGAAGTGATGACCCTAAACAATGCTTTTGTCTGAAGTCCTAATGCAAGTCTTATACAGGCTACGAGCCACGTACTTCCACTTCATGTTTGCATTGGGAATTTTCTTTCTCACTGCTTTGATGTTACATCCTTTTGTATTTTTTTAAGTGCTTAGAAGAACCCTACTGTGACAAAACACTAAATAATAATCAAAGTCAGGAACATTAAATGATACTATCTAATATATTTCTGGTATGGAGTGCTGTCGAATGTGGACTGCGATATGGATGACCACCTTGAGTGCTCTGACTGTCCTGCATATATCATTTCATCCTTCTTAGTAACCTGGTTGTAGTGGAATCATCCGAGTTATCACATCAGAAAGTTTTCTTTTAAACAAGAAAGCTTTGTCGACCACCATTAATATTATCACCACTATTCAGCAGCTTAATTATGCAATTTGTGCTACTTGCTGTTCCCAAAAGTCCTTCCTTCTGAAGAGAGGATTAGATAAAACCTACATTTGCAAGAGAAGCCTGACATATTGCAAGTGCCTAGAAATCAGAAGACAAAAAGTATTTCAACATATTTGTAGCCATCTGTAAGTCACATTCATGATGCTTTATGATATACCCACATGATTTTTGAATGTGTGGTTTGTATCGAATGATACATTTATCACTCCTTTATTCCTCCATGAATTAAGCCGAGCAATTTATTTTCTCATGTAGATCCGCAGAGCCAATGCATCTGATGCATCATCCTTAGTCAGTGGGATTCAGAGCCTGTTTGCCCGCCGGGTGGCAGTGAAAGCCCGAGCTACAAAGGGGATGGGATGGGCTGCGATGGGCTGGTCCTGATGGCTGAGCTGCTCTGCCTTCCCACCGCACATCCGCGGCGATCAGGCTGTGGCTTTATCTGTAATAATGATAAACCTCATTCCGTTATGTTAGGAAGCGATGGTGTGTTAAATGGTTTGTTATCCGCATCTTTAACAAACTGTAAGTAACTAATTTCTTGCCCTTGGGCACACCTGCCGAAAAGAGCTGGAGATTGCATTGCAGTGACAGCCAGAACGTGTCTATGCTTCAGTCTCACGGATATTGTGATGTGTGACATAAATATCAGTAGTTTTATAATGTGTTTTATCTCTGTGTGCTCTGAGAACGCGTGCTCCTGCCTTATGCCTGAATACTTTACAGCTGTTTCTCTTGCTGCAGGTTGTTGCACAAGATAAGCCAACTCCCTGGTACTCATGCAGTGGTCCCTTGGGAAATGCTCTGACCCCATGGCAGAGCTCTGTGGAGTCTCAAGAGCTCTTAGCAGTTCCTGATACTTTTTAAAAAATATACCCTTATTCACTTTCACATTAAGTGAAAACGCTCAGTACACCAAGTAGTTCTAACACTACTCTATTTTGAACTGTTAGCCATCTTTTGCCATTCTTTAGTTGTATGATGCCCACCTGCCAACTCACCTGCCAAATTAGGAAGTTATTCCCACCAGCTCTCCCTGAAGAACAAATGTTTTGCCTTCTACCTCTGGCAAGGATCTGAAAGTATTGCACTGCTGCATGTATTCAGAATGAAAAGGCAGGGATGGCAGAAGCCAGTCAAAGCATCAACAGTGAGAAGTTGTCTGTGTTCAGAATTATTAAAGTATAAGTGTTTGGAAATTGCACGATTGAAATTGTTCTCCAGAACGTGAGGAGAATAGGTCAGAAATCAAGGGGAAAAAATCGTGAGAGTGTTTCCTTTAAGAGTAAGCAAACATTCGCTTTAAAAAATACAAAACCTAAACTCTAATAGTAAAGTGAAAAGCATAGATTTTGGTCCCTTCGTGTAGTTTCTAAAGATTTTCTGGTATGGAGTTGAGATGTTTGGCTTTGGGATTTTGGCTGAATAGCTTAGTAATAGATGAGGATCAAACAGTGCCACTGGTTTTAAACCTAATTGCACATCTGGCAGGAATAAAGGTATCTGTAAGGTGTTATGGGTCAAACAGTATGACTTTGTCAATACTATAGCTTTACAATCCAAGTACATTTCATTGTTTTACCGCTTGAGGTGAGGGCTGTTATCACTATAACTGGTATTGCCTTGTTGCCACACCCTGTGCCAGCAGATTGCCTAAACTGACACAGGATGTGCACCTCCCTCTTGCTCCAACAGGGATTGTACTGCTGTAACATTTTCAACTCTGTTCAGTAGTATTTTCCTAAGGGAATCTTAACTAAATGTCAATGTGTTTATTTACATGTTATTACTCTGGAAGCATATTGCTTTGTGAGTGCACAGCAGCTGATAACAACAAGTATTGCAGTTGTTTATTGTAAGTATTTTAAGTACTCAGCTCCACCAGAACTGTCAATTGCTTTATTAATGGGCAGTTTTATAATAGAGATCTGTTAAAATACTGTTCCGCAAAACCTTTCTAAAACAACTTGAATGAATTATTTTGTAGAAAACCATTACTTTCCAAATATTTTTAGTATTTTGATACTAGTAGTATTTCAGTAAACTGCGTTTTCTTTAATTTAAATAATTTATGTACACTGGATATTAAGAATATTCAGGCTCTTTATTTGTGAAAGTAATGAGGTGCCTCAAAAAGACACCCACTTGTACCTACCTATATACAGGTACCTACAGAAATATGTAAAAATGTCTCTAAATGCTGGCCTTCAGTTTCCAGCAGATCTGGTCATTGGTGTTCTTTAGAGTTTGTGTATGCAATGCATGTTGGGTTAGATACATTACTGAGGGAATGCACGGTCCACATGTGCTGTTTATATGTAGTCAATATAATTATTTATACCTCTTATAAGTGTAATTTTTTTCAAAAGAGAGGAAGAATAAACTTGATCAGGATGTGATGTCTTTATAGAAATGGAACTGCCATTGTGTGTCCTGTCCTGTAGACATGAGGACACTGGGTTTTTTTTAGAAAAAACAACCAAACTATGTCCCAAGGTCACATAGCTGTAGCCTAAGCAAAAATCATGTTTTGAACATGCTTAAAATCCTCCAGAAAAATGTCTTGCATAAGAAAATAATTTAAAAATCTTCCACACATTAAGATCATAACTTTTCTCCAAAAGCAAATATTAGAGACTTAGACTTACTGCAACTCAGTGTGATCCAGTTTAAGAAAAAATGTCAATATGGATTAAAAGTCCTCCCCCTGCAGAGGGGAGAAGGCAACCAGTCCCTGCTGCTGCTGCTTCCAGAATGTTTTCTAATATCCCTAGCTGCACAGTAGGACTAGGCTGGCAAGACAGACAGGGAAACTCTTGAATGGCTGATGTCTTCTTTTAGCAGAAGTGGTAGATTCTTCCCATCATTGCCGATTATTTACTCACATAGCACTCCTTGTTGACTTTCCAGTAGTCAACATCCATATACGATAACTGGAGACAAGAACAGACTATGGAAATGAAAAAAATTATCCACCTGCTCTCTGTGTATCCAGTGGGTTGTTTCTTTATGATCCTATGACTGTCTGCAAATTCTTCTTATGGTAAGAGCCAGTTGGATTGAGTTCAGCTGAGCAAAATGCAGTCAGGCACCTGGGAATCTATTAGAATATGCCACTTTGGACTTTTCTGTAGGAATTAAAACCTTGAGATTCTCACTAAACTATTACTACTACTATAAATTATTTTGGCCATGCAAACACTCTCAAAGAATTGTCCTTTTCTGTCTCTCAGGCCTCGGGCTTGATTTGTTTTTCTTTTGGAATTCAGTTTTGTCTGTTGGGGGAAATGGAACAGGGAATTGTTAGTTCATCTTTGTCCAGTGCTTTGAAGATATGAAGTAGTTTTGGAAGCTGCTTGGTACGGTTGCCCATATTCTCCTCAGGGAAACAAATCTAACATTTGCTCTCCACAGCCTGCCCTTAGTGGAGTATTCAAGGAGATCTCTTTCCCCTTTTGTTCCCACAGGGCAACTGGATGCCTTTATTGCCACCTCTGCTTGAAGACACCAATTCAAGAACCCAATTTATGAAGAGTCTTGAACGTGTTTGGCAGATTTCCTCAGCTGCTGTACTTTAATGTGCAGTGGGAACCCTCTCTTTCTGGAATTATTCCTCGCTTCTCATTTTTGTTTTTTGTTTTTCACTGTGTTTTCATTTTGACTAATTCTTTCTCAAATATGCACCATTTGATTGATTTAAAATTCATAAGTACTGGATTTAGGTTTCTTAGCATGTAGGGTGCTTAATGCCCTCAGCTGCAGTTTCCTAAAGTAACATAAGGAATTCAAATACAGCGGTGACGATGCTGCACATTTTACAGAATACAAATAGGGGGTTTTAGGTTCTTAGATCTCTTGCTGTGAAGTACCAGTAATCCTGTGCTAGTCAACATCTGTGCTGTCTGGATGTAGCTGGCCTTGTTTTTTATTTTTATTCAGCTAGCAGAGAAGCAATTATTCCTGTGGCAACCAGATCCTGCAGGGTTAATGCTATTTCTTTGAAGTTACTACTGCTATTGCTTGCTACATCTTTTTGTCGTCCTTTTTCAAAGTGTCTCCTGTTGCACGGATTGTCAGTTTAAAGGAATGCAAAATGGGTTACCAGGATAGGAAAAACTCTGCTGTTTTAAAGCCATGATAAAGCTCTCATCTTACAAATGAGTGTGATATACAGTGCACATAAGTTGCACTGCATATCACAGTTTTTACTTTTACAGTTCTTAATAACAGGCAAGTGTAAAACCGTTTCTATCCAGAATATAAAACTAATAATATTACATGTTAATAGCAATACCTTTTTAAGTCAAGAGTACCGTTCTCATATTAGTTAATTAGTTACACAGTGTCCCTTCATTCACTGAGTTACTTTATTTCACATGGGAATGGTTCAAAGCTGTGCCAGGGGAGGTTTAGGCTGGACATTAGGAAGCATTTCTTTGCCGAGAGGGTGGTCAAATACCGGAACAGCTCGATGTCCCAAGCCTGTTAGTGTTTAAGAGGCATTTGGACAATGCTCTTAGTAATGTGCTTTAACTTTTGCTCAGCCTTGAATAGGTCAGGCAGCTGGACTAGAAGATCATTTTAGGTCCATTCCAGCTGAAATAGTCTATTCTATTCCATACCATTCCATTCCATTCCATTCCCAAAATTGCCTTGCTCCACCCACCCTGAAAAATATGAATATAATAGTAAGGATAGTACCTTGGGTTTAGTAACATCTGTTTGCAGTTTTGTTTTTCAATGTACCATATTTAAAGCTTTCTAAAAAAAATAATTCAGTGGACAGCTGCTGCAGTTAAGGCACCTAATTCTAATAATTCATTACTTTCTAAAAGGTATAATTCATCCTTTCAGTAAAAGTAGCTGGCTCATTCATTACTTGCCTTGCTGAATCCCTCTTATTTTTCACTTGTTAGTGATCTGGAGTGAGAAGATGTTTTGTACATCCTCCTCTCTTTGTCTTTTGACATTCAGATATCTGTGTAAATAAGCATATTTAAGAGTCCCCAAAAACTTGCATAGTCAATAAATGAATGCCCTACAGATTTTGGCTTCTCTGTCATTTGGCTGTTTTGGAAAACTTCTCCCATAATGCTACATCCCTTTCCATTCTTTTCAGCATTTCTTCTCATAGTATCTTTAAATGCAGAAACTTTTTAAAGTGCTGACCTAAATTATCAAGAGTGATCTTTAATTTCCTATGCCTCAGAATTTAAGTGCTCAAATTAAGAGTGAATCTTGACTAGCTGGCTCTCTTCCCTTTGCTTTCTTGAAGCCTGTCAGTCTCCCTGCTACAGACTGAGATACCCCAAAATCACTTGGTGCTTTTGGCAACTTCAGGCAGTGGATACTGAAGTTAAAGTGACATTGTCTTAGAACTCCATCACAATTGCAGATTGAATGAAAGAAAGAGCACAGACACAAAAGATACAGAGCTTTGAATTTACATGCACATTAGAAAATGTCTGATCGCTTTTTTTTTTTCCCTCTGGCCAAGTTCTATTTGCAAACTGAAATACAGCAAGATCAATGCCATGTGCAAAAACTTAAATGGCAGCTTTTGAGAAATTGCCCCATTAACCTGATGAGTTTCTAATTACAGTAAGACATAAGAGCTTTTTTTCCTCATGCTATGTAGGATTTTGTCCTAACAGGTTTTTTTTTAAAGCTACCCTGCTGTTAAAATAATTTAACTGCAGTGTTTAAGTATAATTTGTCCTATATTTCTTTTTCTTTCTCTGAGGAGTTACATAACTTTATAATTTCTAATGAGGTTTCCTAAATATAAATTGTGATGTTATATTATGCACCTGCTTTGGCTCCCAACCAATTAATTTGAAGTGGTTCAAGGCCAAAGAGAAGTCTAGGATTACATTCTAGCATTCCTGGTGACAGGCTTGTTTATGCACTTTTTTTTTTTTAAATAAATGGTTTAGTTGTTAAGTCCAGCTTCTGTTGAAATTGATCTTATCCTTTAATTTCATGTAATACTCTAAATTAATAGAGGATTGTTTAGGATAGCTACATGACCTTGTGTTACTTAGATGCTGTTTAAAATCCATTTGTATAATAGCCAAAACATTACTGTGCTTTCCTAAATCAGGTAACTTTAGCCATTTAAATGACTGTTTAAATCATAAGCAGGATTAACCTGGGAAGAGATCAGTAAAAGATCAACCTCACTTTACCCCTAAAGCTGTGCTTCCTTGCCTTTAAGTATATCCCATCACTGCTGTCTCCCCAAATCCCCCTGCCAGACAGAGCTCTGCCTCCTCATCGTCAGGACTGTCATTTTTCTGCCCCAACTTAGCAAAGTGGTGGGCCTGATATCTGGGAATAACAGGAGTCCTGGAGAACAATTTTCTGTCTGTACTGATTCCCCTCTCCCTTTCTCCCCTGGACTCAGAGCACTGATCTCCCTGCTGTATTTTGGCACCTTCTCTTCACCAAGAGATGAACCTGCAGGCCCACAGATGGTGTGAGGAGGTACAGGACATAATCTGCCTTGCAGCACAATTTATCCCTTCTGCTGCACCTGCAAGCTCAGAGCACTGATTCTCAGAGCAATCCTTCTGGCTTTTACTGCCCTGTATTTTATGGGGATGTATCACTGAGGTTTGCGTCACCATTTGAGAAATGCTGCTCTTGAGAATCCGAGTGCTCAGAACTTCCTCTGTCTCAGCATTATTCCAATGTGTGGACTACCTTCTTCCTGAAAAATGTTATATACATGTCTATGTCTGAATTCAGGATGATGAACATAAGGATGCCAGACTTGAAAAAATGTTCGATGTTTTAAAGAATTTCACAGCTTTCCAGTGATCATTTCTCAGTTTTCCCCAAGGAATAATTCAATCTCCTCCTTCTCAGTAACTTTGGAAATAGCAAATGTGCATTCTTCAGTATCAATACCTTTATTTCCATTTGACAATTCTACAAATGTGACAGTAACTGAAAATCATATCCATTTCAGATTGCTGTTTTCTGTCACTGAGGTATCACTTTTGTTCATGCACAGGTTCACCATTCATTTATCTACTATCCATTTCAGTATGAATGTCACAATTCTACAGCTATTTACATATAAGCCTGTCACATATACAAGTCAGAGAAGAAAATCCTAAAGAAAAAGTTAAATTTTAGCTCCATTTTTGTCCCAGTCTGAATTTACTGGGCAGGGACAGGGACTAAAGGTGTTCTATAAACCTTAGCACTTCCTGGTGAGGTGCACTTGCTTGTATCACGTGCTAGTAGCTATGCAGCTGGCTCTACCTATATGGCTTCACCATGCACTTGCATCTCCTTTGGTACATCACCTAATCCATGTTTCCCTATCGCTGACTAAGAGTTTAATATAATTTCTGAAGATTATTGGTTTCTTAAAACAGACTGGTGAGAATGCTCTTCTTCCTCTGGTATTTGTAAATAATCTCAGATACCGAAGGAACTCATTGCTTTAGGGTGAATAAAGAGCAGGGATACTTGATGAACAACAACAGGTAGTGCTGCCTTACTTCAGCAGAGTTTGTCCCTTTTCATGAATGCTTATGTTGCACAAGCAATTGCAGCATTGCACTGCATCAGCACTGTTCCTGATCCTGATTTGGAAACATCAACTGTTAACTTGACAAAGCGTGACACATGGTATGTTGAAGTGTTTTCAGCTGCACTAACACAACAAATTGTAATGGTTCCAGAAGAGCCATCTCAGTTGATTGTGCCGATAAACCACAGCCCACAAAGAAAAAGACATGTGGCCAGCCTGAATAAAGCATCATCAAATCACAAATAATAGATTAATTGTCACAATTTTTGTCCTCATTTTTAGAAAAAGAATTTTGCAGGAAAAATAATCCTGTAATTCCCATGGCTTCTGTTTGTGATGAATCAGAAGTCTAGCCCTATGGCACTTAGCAGTTCACAACATTTCCTGATTTCCATATGTAGGGAGTGTGTGACTTTGTTCTTCATAGTTCCGCTACAAAATGAGGGCTTGGCAGGTGTTCTCAGTTTAGGTCAAAATGTAAGCTGTCCAGTGCAATTGGACTTTCTCCAGCTTTCATGAGACACAGGCCTATTGTTATTTAAGAAAGACTTCTGTATCATTTCCTGGACTAAGTGCCAGCAAACACAAGCTTCATATTACCTTCTTTTTTTTTTTTTTTTCCTCCACTAGTTAGTTCATTGGGAAGAACTACATCTGCTTGATGGTAGTTAGTGGTGGTAGATGGTAGATGAATTTTCTGCTTTCATAGTTAGGCTGATAGTACACACAGTGAATTCTAACCTCACTGAGACCATTAAGATTTCAGAGTAAGTAAATCAGGGTACAACCTGACTTAATGAGACTAGCCACTAGGTCATCAGTTCTGTGCGTGTGCTGCTTTTTCTGTTGCCCACATACCAGTCAAAGCCCACAAGGAGCTATTGTGTTTCCTCAGAGATCACTAACATTAGATAAAGATTGCTGGCCATGACACTTCAGTGGCTCAGCAAGGATGTGTGTTACTTGTTAAGCACCTGGAACTTGAGTTACTCTGTGGAAGACAGATAACAGTCCCCCAAATTTAAAATCCCCTGAATAACCATAGCAAAATGACCTACAGCAGGAGCCCTGGAGGAAAGAGGTGTGCTAGTTTTGAAGACTCATTTCTTTTCACATATTCTCTGTGTTAATATATACCTTTTTGTAACGTTAAGGCAGCATTTTCTGACTAGGAAGTATGAGGGGTTTCTTACTAAGCTACCTCATTTCTTTTCTCTGAAACCATCAGTAGCAAATTATATTTGGTTATTTAATATCAGAAATTAAATCCTCTTCACTGCTCAATTTCACATACCTGGCAAATAAAGACATTTATTAGTCAGAGATATTCGTGTGTATGTATATGCACATGCAAACACATAGCTCTTTTTCTTTTACATCATAGTACGTGGGGTGAAATGCACTTAAAATGAAAAAGAGTAAGCCAAGTATTTGTAGTTATACTGAGTGGCAGCAAGTGAAGTATCCAGTTGCTTAACCAAAGGATATTTCTGTAAAACTAGAAAACCGGGTAAGATTAGTTAGCATGAGTTCCTAAAAGGAAACTTATGCTAAAGGAAGATATCATTAAAGAAATGCACAGTGCCAAAGGGAAGAATAACTTACTCTGTAGACTATCCAAATTTCTCATTTTCCCTGCAAGAGACACTGAAACTGAGGACCACAGAAATATGCTCACATAAATGAAAAAAATGCCTCACCAATCAGCTGGGGAATTTACATCCACTCAATCTGATACTGATACTTCCTCTGGCACACACTTAATACACAACTGCCCAAAGCTTTTGACCATCTTCAGCCAACAGAAGGGCTCAAATATAAAATCACAGAAGCTAGAGATGAAAGGACCTACTCACTTAATTTGTTAAACCATTCACTGTGTTATTTTGGCTCCCTGTAGTATACTGTCAAATACACTTCTGATCATCAGTTGGACTTTTGATGTTATTTGGATTCTAAATTACTTTGGCTTCACATACAAATGAATGGATTACACTCATCCATCCGTGGGTTATTCATCTGTTCTATTCAAGAACACTTGTAAGACAAGGGTTTTGCCAAAATTAAATTATTCAATTGTTTCTTGTTTTCTGAGAAACCCCTTCATTTCCAATTACAGGTGCAATTTTCTATATAAAATGAAAAACATTTTCTTCTATTTAACACACACAAGTATGATTTATGAAATGTTACTCAGGTAAGACAAGCTTATTTTACACTTTATTTACTCGGGACAGAACACTGATGGGAGAAATAAATGAGATAGACAGGATGATCCATAGTTGGAGACATGACTTGCTTCATGCCACAGTCAGAAAGGAGCTCTGGGCCTCTATCATTACAGACCATTGACCTCAGAAAAATGAAACACGTTGGATTGGGCAATTGGAACAAGACACACGGAAGGGCTGCTCATGCTGTCATCTGTGAGGAGAGGTTGGTTGGTTTTGAAGCATAAAGCTGGCTCTAGGCTGGGCACCTGTCTGCCTCTTCTTTCTCAGAGCTGCCTACCATCGCAGCCACTTGTTGCATCGCCCACAGCGCTTTTCCCTCCACTGGCTGGAAAGCAATGCACCTGCAAGACTACAAGATGAGCATGCTGGTTTGCCTTAGGTTAGAGGAGACAGCGCAGTGAATATGAATCACTTTCATTGTTTTTTTCCGCCCCGAGCCAGCCGGGCTGGTAAGATGTCCTCTGCCAGGCTCCGCAATACGCCTTTGCCCTGAAGTGACGCGGGCGCCGGCTCCGACGCTCGCGTTCCCCCAGCTCTGCGGAGCGGGGACGGGGTCTCACCGTCCTCACAGCCCCGGCTCGTCCTTCCCCGCGGGAGCGGCTGGAAAGGGAGAGCCGGGCATCGCCCCCGGCTGAGGCGGACGGACGGAGCAGACCCCGCCATCCCTCCCGGCTCGGGGGCCGGCGGCGGGCAGGGCGAGGCCGGGGCCCATCGTCGCCGCCTGATGTAGCGCAGCTTCCCCTCCCGCGGCACAAACGATGCCCTTGCCGCGGCTCCCCAGGGCCAGGACTCGCTGGCACCGGGGACAAGGGGCTACCGAGCGGGGCAGGGCGGCGGCTCCGCCGACCCCCGTTGGCGCAGGGCACGGGCAGCCACCACCCCCCGCTCCGTGAGGGAGGGAGGGGCGCGGAGGGCGGCGCGTCCCGGCCGGTCCCCCCCCACACCGCCGCCTCCTCCTCCACCTGCTGCCGCTGCGCCAGTCGCCGGCTGGGGGGAGCCGCCCGCCCGCTCGTCCCCGCGGGGTCCCTTTGTGCTGCTGCTGCTCCAGAGCTGCCTCAGCCAGGCGGCGGCTGCGTCACGGCCCCGGCGCTGCGGCCGCCCAGAGCCACCCGCGGAGGGAGAGCCGCCGCCTCGCCCCCCGCTCCGCCATCGCTGCGCGGGCCGCGGCGAACGACGCCCCCCGAGGAAGGGCCGGGAGCCGCGGCGGTGAGTGCCGGCCGCGCTGCCCCTGCCCCTGCCCCGCGGAGGGGAGGCCGGGAGAAAGGAGCGGGGAGCCCTCCGACACGGCACGGCACGGGAGGGGGCGCGGGGAGCTGCGGGGATGGGGCTCCGGAGCGCTGCGCATCCCGCGGGCTGCGGGGCGATGCCGCACCGGGCCGCGCGGGCAGCATCGCTCGCATCGGGATGACGTGCCGCGGATTTTGGGGCGCTTTTTTGTGTGCGTGATGGTGGGGTTTTTTGTTTATTGATTTTTAACTTCCATAGTAGAAGCTCTGGCCATCGTTCTTCGCAGAACGCCAAAGCCTAACCGAGTCACAGGACGAAGGCGTAATTTTTTTTTTTTTTTCAGTCATTTAGTCATTAGGTATTTCGGACCCGCTGGGGAAAGGTCTGGTTTTTGATATTTTGCATTTCTGTGCGTGTGTGCTCGTGTGTGCCAGCAGAAAATCCCTCTATCCTGGAAGAATGGTGAAACTGGGGAATAATTTCAGCGAGAAGAGCACAAAGCAGCCCCTTTTGGAGGATGGATTTGACACCATCCCTCTGATCACACCCCTGGATGTCAATCAGCTCCAGTTCCCACCTCCTGATAAGGTACAGTAGGCTTTAGTTTCCACCCTGGAGAATCACACCCAAAGCACAGGCAAACAACAAAAGAATAGGTTATGTGTAACGAACAGCTTAGAAACGGTGAGAAATTTGGGGTGCTTTAAAACGTGCTAGTTCCCTCTGGGGAAAAAAACCCAAACAGTTAAGCTCATGAAAATCCAGTAATAGCGATTTGCATTAAAAAAACAGTGGAAAATGTTAGCAGTAAGCGTATATAGATTTCAGTGCTGTGTATGAAACATACAGACATATAAATGCAAGCTTCTCTATGCTGTATTGTCGTAGCCCTTCCTATTCTGCATCTTTCTTTTTTTATTATTATTTGTAAGGTACTGTATATTCTGTGTGAATGTGTGAATTTTCTCTGTCCAGAAAATGCCTCTCTGATGGGGAGATAAAGCCCTGCTTATATTGCTCTGCAACATGGGGACAGGCAGATTGGCAACAGGGAGTGCTTCCATATTCCTTCTGTGCTTCAGCAGGAAACTAATGCTAACCCTAGACAAGCTGAAATAATGAGAATAGGCCATTGAGTTTTCTCCATGGCAATTTATTTGGTTCAGAAACCTCCAAATAGGTGATTCAGATCCTCTATAGTTGCAAGGGGACAGTTCAGTGAGTGCTTACAGGTTGGAAGATAAGTGTGCTTCCTGCATTCCATATTATATGGCTTGATTATTAAGGATTTAATTTTAAAGCTTTAAGAAGGTGATGTGATAGCCTGTAAATATGTTTATTGTCCACAATAAAGAATACAGTAAGTATTACTACCACGTAAGGCACACAGTAGTAGGATAACCTTTTCAGGTTTTTCAATATCCTATTTTAATAGGATACTTACTTACACATTTTTCACATGCATCTGGAAAAAAAAGTTTTGTGGTCTTCATACAGTTTTTATTTTGGCCTTCCACAAGCTCAATTCTACGTCTAGTTAAACTGATATTTACGTGATATAGACATTACATATAATACATATACATAAAAACAGACATATACATTCCTCAAAGCTCAAAAAGATTCAGATAATGGTATCTCAGGGTAAAGAATTTTAGCGTGTAAAATTTTCCTTGGTAGACTGTTGCTTGTAAGCAATACAAATAAATTTTTGACCTCCATTTTAACTGCTATCAACACCATTCTGTGTTGTGTGTGGTGACCAGTTGGCAGGCATAAATGCCATAAGCCATAACAGCTGTTGGAGAGCCTAAGGGTCCATTTTACGCCCTCAGTTACATGGGTGTAAATCTTGTAACTGAGGACAAAATTGTACCCTAAGGCTTTAAAACAAGTTAAGTCTTACTGTGTCTGATACGCCTGCCAACTGGTGACTGGATATAACCGATTACCAAGGACCAGTGTCTAAAGGATTTTGTTATGTTCCTGCACTGCTAAGCAGAAGTCTGAAGTAGGGATCTGTATGGTAATAGGTTTAACCTGAGCAGAGCCTCTGCAGTAAGTTCAGGAGGTTCTGTGCCGGCCCTACGGCTCCTACTAGAATGGGGCAGAACTCCTCCCACCTTTATGGTATTTGCCTTGAACAAAAGCAAATGTCCAGCTAGGCTAAAAGCTGAAATAAAGGAATATTTGACTGGTTCTTCTACTCTCCACTGTCTAATTGTGTATTAGCTTTTTTTTCCTTTTGCAGACATAGAGGGGAAAAATTAAAGTCATGAATGTATTGGTCCTGCTGGTTTCCTTCTGTAAGTGGTTAGTCATGTCATGTCAGTGTTTCTTTACTGGTTGCTACAGACTCAAAGGCAGGAGCAGAGCAACTGATGCGAAAAGAAGAAACAGTATTAAGGAAAGATTGACACACAGATCAAATTCTTAAGTATGAGGACACTCATGTATAATGAATAGGAGTACATACTTCATATATCTATGCTTATTATTCACTTACAAGGCTCCAGTATGGCAGTGAAGCATAACTCCTTGAAAAGTAGTGACTACAGCGCTAAGGATTTGATGATTTTGACAGTTTCTAAATTAAAGGGGTGAAGTAATTTAAATTCATATTCAGATATGTTAAACAAAAGAAGACATTACATAACCAAGCAGTTAGAACTGTACATTCAGTGTCAGCTGAATGTGATTTGAGTTGCCTGAGATTACGCAACATAAAGGGGGGAGGAATGTAAGTAAAATGCTAAAAAGCATTTCAGAACTCTTCAGGCAGTTACTTTCATGCTGCTGTTGGGCAGTTACAAAGTTAAAATAGGTAATAACTACTGCCTTACTACTGAGAGCTGAAAATAGGTAAAGAAGTTTCGAAACCTCTGTCCTGCACAAATATGTGTAATGCTGTTGAAGTGTCTAATAAGCTTTATGGTACTGAGTCTAGCACAGTTATACATTCTAGGTACCATTCAAGGAAGTGAGAAGAGGGGAACCCAAAGCTTTTAATTTCAATGCCTGGCTACCTGTGAGTGTCATAATCTTAATTTTGGAGAGATGGAAAGAGACTATTTACAAGGGCATATAGTGACAGGAGAAGGGGGAATGGCTTCAAGCTGAATGTAGGTTTATTTTAGATATTAGGAAGAAGTTCCTTACTTTCAGGGTGGTGCAGCTCTGGAACAGGTTGCCCAGAGAAGCTCTGGATGCCCCATCCCTGGAGGTGTTCAAGGCCAGGCTAGAGGGAGCTCTGAGCAACCTGGTCTAGTGGAAAGTGTCCCTGCCCTTGGAATTAGATCATCTTTAAGGTCTCTTCCAACCCAGGCCATTCTATGATTCTGTGATAACATATTTGCTATTAATACCACGGGCTGTGCCAAAGATAGAATTTGATTCTAAAAATCTAAAAGAGTAGGTATTTATTCCTTGGAAAAACAGAGAAAATTGAAAAAATCATAATGGCACTGTCAGTGTGATGAACTGCACCCTATCTCAAGCATGATAGTTAGAAAAAGATCCTGAAAAATGCAGAAGACAAAAATGAGGTAAATGGGTTACGTATGTGAAAATGTTGTACAATTAGAATGCCTAGGAGAATAGTAAAGATTAGGCTGACGTAGTGAATATTTTGGGAATACAGGTAAGGTGCTAAATGGTGCAGCTTGGGGCAGTAGTTCATAGCAAGGAATAAACTAAAGTTGAAGAGCCTTGGGTGTTTGAAGAAATCTCATTAACACAAGCATATATGTGCAACTTGCTGCTTGCAGCTGATAAATCAGAAATTAGAAGTTAAAAATAAGAGTGCCAAAGACCATAGTCTGTCACTTAGTGGATAGCAACTAGATGGGTCATTTCACTTTCTTTAAACTCAAGATTCTGCCGTCAAAGTACATGGCATCTTGTAGGATTTCTGTGGGTCCTCTTCAGTAATCTTCTCCTGTTGGTCTCCAGTTTGAAATCCCATCAGTGGGATTTCCTGAAGCAAGTGGAGGTGACTGTTTTCAGACTACATGAAGTGAGAAGGACCATGATTTGGATTTGACCTATGCTTGCCTAGTACAGGAGCACAGTATTACCACAGATGAAAAAATTGAAAGTTTGTGAAACTGTTGTGTAACAAGTCTTCCTGTAGGTCCATCAAGATCACTTTGAGAGATAACTTTCTTAATGATTGATATGCCAGAAAAATATACAATAATTTACAGCTTTCAAAGAATTACACAAAGTGGGGGATGGGGGGGAGGGAAGGAATATTTTGCTAGATGTGCTTGTAAGCAGGTTAAAGAAGAGTTAAAGAATAATTAAGGTTTCTGTGGCTAGTTTCAGCTGACAGTTTTTTTATTTTTTCTTAAAGGTTGTGGTCAAAACAAAAACAGAATATGAACCTGATCGCAAGAAGGGAAAGTTCCGTACTCCTAAAATAGCTGAATTCACAATCAGCATCACTGAAGGGGTTTCGGAAAGATTTAAGGTAAGCAGTGCTGTCTGAAGATGTTAATAACTCAGTTGTGTTCACAGAAGTGCTTAAAATTAGTTGCTGATTGTAGTCAGAACTGGCTCTAACAGAGTGCCTATTGTGGTTTTAGCTGGACATGAGAAAAATAAATTCAGTGTTATAATAGTTGAGTATTTAACAATGAGAAGCAAAATCAAATCTTGAAGCATTATTGCTTGTAATCCCTCACTGGCAGATGAGTTCAGAAGGTGTTTCTGTCAGCGTGTGGGTTTCAGAACATGGCTGGCCAGGGTGTCTGTGGGCTGCACACAGGTAGTGCTCGTGGCATGGATAAAACTCCTGTTTGTATTGAAGGGCAAGAACCACAAGAACATTTATTTTCTTGTTGGCTTCTTATTTATCACTGTGGCCAAACCATTCTCTTAAAAGCACTGTCATAGTCCATTATGTATTTTTTATAGTTAAGTGTATGACTTGGCAGCTCAGGGATATGTACCAGAGCTCTTTGCTATCAGTTTTCCTGGTCCAATTTAATCGTAAAGCGTAGTGACGACTCTTACTGTCAGATGGTAGTTCATCAAGAATCTGACTCAGATTTACTCTGCAGTGTCCACACCCCTATTACTCCCTTCAGTAGTCCCATAGGAAACCTGAGAGCTTAACTGGTTTGAGAGCAAGGATTGAATTACCTTTCCCCCTTCTCACTGGAGGATAGGTTTTCTTGCTCTGTGTAAGTAAAGCAAAGCAAAGCAGGAAAGTTGGCATTTCAACTCCTGCTTCCCTACTTTTTCTTTTAACAAAGGAAGACTGCAGCTTCTCAGTGCTTTTAATTGGCATCTTACCCAAGGATGCCAAAGCATTTTTTAACAGTAGGCAACCACACTCTTCACTGCACAAGTACAAATATATTTGGAAAGCCTAACATTTAATTTGAGGGAGAAATACAGAGCTTCAGTAGAGATGTGGATTCTCTTTATATTTCATGCTTCTGAACTCTGCATGATAGGAGATTTTAGGGCACACCAGAGATTCTGGTTTTGTTGTGCCTGAGCAGTGGTTCCAAAAGCTGCCCAAGCCCAAGCTGACCTTCAGAAGTGTATGTACAGCTCTCAGTGGAATCAGAGCATGCTAAACAAACCAAGTGAAGGCTCAAGGAGGGATCAGAATATATTTGGGAAGGAACTTTGCAGAGTGTTGCCATGACAAATGTTTTAAGTGCCAGTTACCTGGAGGAGTCTTCAGCCACACAGTGAAGCATGTAGGTTCCCAGTAAGCTATATGGGGAACCACCCTGATTAGCTAAGAAGAAATTATGTGGAGTATGGTAGGGTTTTACTAAGCAGGTAAGAAACTTAGTTCCAGTTTTTCCTGTTCCCTGATTTGGGGCAAGGATGTCCTATCCCTCAGGGAAAATGCAACATTCTGACTAACATCCTCTCTTTGTCCTCCTGGCACCATAGTGCCACTCAGTCCTTGAGAGTAATCCCCTTTCTGTCAGGCGAAGGTTGGGAAAATGCAAATAGACAGCTCAGAACACGGGGAACTTATGTCTGCCTGCCTTTGTGTGTGTCCTGGTCACACTAAGGTGACTGGAAAATGCTTACTGTGTTGTAGAAGAGAAAAGGGAGAAAGTTTGAGTACCCTGCTGGGACTTTGGTTCCAAGCAGCTGAGCAGAACCTATACCCGATGAATTTTGCACTTATGCTTTAGCTGTAGGGACTAAGGGATTTAATTGCTGGAACATTAAATTAAGATATCTTAGTCACATCTAAGTAGTTTGCACATCCCTATGTAGATCTGGTTTTTTTCTGCCTTTGTTGGGAGAGCTGAGCAAATGAGACCTAAATGAACAACAAATACGTAAAAAAGCTTGTCATGCTGTTGGGTAGTCTTTTCTAATACATACAGCTGAACAGTTAGAAGCCTGAGCATCTTTGCATTGCATTTTTATATACTTTTGGATGGCATACTTAAGTAAAATATCCTTTAGATATTACTTTATGATGATCGCTCTGGGATTAATCTCATACTATGGGGTTGCTAGGTTTTGCTGCTAGGTAACTACTGCATCAGAGAGAGGTTTCAGTAAGATTTGGTATCTCTTGGGAATTGCAGGGTGATTCACACTGTGGCTGTAAGTCTAGGCTTCTGAAGAAGAGTGTGGGGGTTGATCAGTTAGGAAAATTGTGGTTCAGTTAATTGAAAACAATGTTCATGCAGAACATTCAGGTCCTAAAAACGTCCCTTAATCTCCATATAACAGTTTTAGAATTGAATTATGCTGCTTGAAACATTTTAAAGAGAACTGACTGGTTCTCCAGCAGGGATGACTGTCATATTCACCACTCCCAGTAGTAAATATTAGATGAATAATTGATGACATTTCATAAATATGTAGATGAAAAGTACTGATTGTGTGAGGTTTTCTCCTGGGTCCTTATTAATTGTGAACCATCATGTCAACTGCTGCTGTTGATTCCAAGAGCAAAAAGATATTTGTCTGAAAATTAAATATTTGCTATAATTATGAAATGCATTATTTAACTAGTGAGATATTGACTTTGGCTCATGTTCATGAAAAAAGTTTCAGATGCTGTTTTAATGACTTCAGTATTGTACATCATCGATGCACAAGCCTGCCCACAAGACACAGCCCAAGTGTTGTGCTAAAAATAAAGCAAGTCAGTCAGTCATATTTACAAATAATTTACATGTGTATTCTAGGATGTACTTCTTAAATAAGGACAAAGCAGATTGCAGTTTTAGGATTCAGCAGTGCAAATCACCTAAAGCTGTTCTTCTTGAGAAGTTATACATTATAACAAATGAAGCAACTCCAGCCTGTGCATATGTCATGTAGATGGTGTTTTAGCACCTGGGTGAATAATCAATTATAAAATGTATTTTCTGCATTCAATCCACATTACCACAGTTATTACAACAGAGCTGAGAATGTTTACAAAGAAAACTGCAAGTATAATTTTTTCTATCAAGCCACATTCTGAATTCAAATCAGAATACCTCAGAAGAATGTGAAGATTTCCTGATTATGGGAACCCTGTTGTCTTAATTTAGTTTTATGGCACTAACCAGACTAAGAAAGATGTGATTTTTTCACTGAAGATTATCTGCCATTGAGACATAGAAGTCTTGCTTTTGTTCTTTGAACAGTGTAGTATAATGTGGGGAGCTGGTTCTTCGCAACTGGAAAACAACTTTGAACGAGGCAGATTTTTCTCTCCTGTAAATTGTCTGCCGTACAGAGTAACACAGCAAGGCTGGAAATGTCATTGCAAAGGACCCTTGTGAATCAGGACACAGGAAGAAGCTATGACAGAAGAAAATTGATGGTGTGAGTTACCCAAGGCCAAACCTTTGCTTCCCCCATTGACAGAGCAGTGTTTTTACAACCTCCAGTTTGGATTTTGTAGTGGGATGTCTGTTCTGGCACCCATTGAATTGGGCTACAGTTGACAGTTATGCACAAACACACCAATTTAAAAAAATGTCTGTTTTAGCAATGCATGACATTTTTTTTCCGTCTTTGGGAAAATCTCAATAAAGAACATTCAGAGGTATTTTGAAAGCAAACACTTATGTTTCCCAATAAACTTCAAGCCCTTAAATAAACCCAAGCTGTAGTATGCCTTCAGCCTTTTGGTTCTATTGAAAGGCAGTTCAGTTCTTCAGACTTTATCCTTGACATCTCTACATACATCTAACTGCAGAGCCAAAGCCTGAAGCTTATTTCTGTGGTAAGACCATATGGTGCAAGCCAGGTACTATCAAGTAACAAGTGGTTGTTGAAATGTCTGCATGAAGTTATGGAAGAGGAATTCAGACTTCTTTCAAGATCAGTTCTCGCAGTTTTACCCGGTCATTTTAAGACTGCAAAAATGTAGGCAACGTGTATCTAACTATTGAGTTTTTTTTCCTATCTTTAAAGGGGCACCCTTCAAGCATATTTCTGCCTCAAGACTTTTGTACCTCTTCTTAGTAATGCCACCAATTAGTATTGCTGCAAAAATAATCAAAGAGAGGGAAGATAGTTCTCTCTTTGTTGCTCTGTGATTACTTTGTGTGTTGAGCAGCTCTTTACTCCCACATTAAAAGTCAATTAGGTGCATGAGATGTCTCCTGTACAGGATATCGCTTCCTTAAGTACGTTGTATGTCTGTCACTTTGGCTGGAAGAGTGACAGGTACTTACTGTCAGGAGTAGTTCTGTTTCTTTAGTAGAACTGCTCACAGGATTAAAGTTGTTCATAAGTATAAGCATTTGGCAGGCTTTGAATTTTTCCTTTATTGTTTAAAATAAGAAAAATAAAGGAGGTTCTTTTTTCAATGTAACTACTATTTTAAAAGAATTGATGTAAAGGCACTGCATGGCAACTGTCACTTCCTTTTTTTTTTTCCTCTTCATATTTGATATTCTCTGATATGGTATTGACAATCCTCCTGCTAAATTTTTAGCTGAAAGGAATTTTTACAGTCAGAGCTGGAAGATTTAAGTAAAGTGGATGCCTAACAGCAGCTTTTCTGTTATTAGTCAGGTGTCCTCTGCTGTTGTCTCTATTTGAAATACTTTTATTGGAAGAGAACCAGTGACATTGACAAAGATGTTTTGGATCTCTCTAGATAGAGCACTTAAATAGCCTTTCCTCTTCTGTGGTAACCTTAAGCAGCCTTTATCCTGGCCTCAGTAATATATTCTGGGTTTGTATGTGAAGGTAATAAGATTCTTATCTTTGTGCCACAGGGTTTCTTGAACTGCTTCCTCAGATCTCTCTAGTTAAGAAACTAATATAGGGTGCCATGTGATGGAAGATGATGGAACATTGTCATGAACAGCTGAGTTAAGCCACAGTGCTAGGAACTCAAGGCCACTGCCTTGTTAACTTGTTTTTGTCTAACAGTATGTCCCTCAGGTTTCATTAATCAACTCCCTTGCAGACTGCTCCTGTTGCCTTGCACAGTTGCTGTTAATAAGTGCTGATTCTGTAGCTTCTTTTTAT